TCCTGTGAAGCACTGCTTTCACATACAAGTAGACCTCACTATTGGTTTTCATTTTTTTCTCAGACCATCACAGGAAAAGGTTCTTGGATCTCTTGAACCCCCCCCCCCGTGTACAACTCCCTCAAACTAATGGACATCCCGTGTACTGCACTGTTGAACCCCGTGTACTGTATTTTGCTTTGCTGAGTGCTTGCACTTGCTAGAGTGTGTCAAATGTTGCTGGAAGCAGAGTGGTAAATGTGTTGTCAGGATGGCCGAGCGGTCTAAGGCGCCAGACTCAAGGTCTTGAGCCTTCTGCAGTCAATGCAGATTGGAGCCTTCTGGTCCACGTATGTGGGCGTGGGTTCGAATCCCACTTCTGACAGTTTATTTTTTCTTCCTTTTTCTTCCTTTTTCTTCCTTTTTTTGAGCACACGCCACCATCAAGAGTATACCCCCCCACCCCAGAGTGTGCAACTCCCGCATCCCCTGCTGTCCCGTTAGAATTTCACATTGACGTCATTTTTATGATGCAATGCTCCTTGAACTGGTTTGTACAGGGATCAAAATTAATGGGGCTTTGTCCACCACAGCTTATGGATACTGTGTACTGTAGGACATGTACCGTAAAGTATCGTTGATCCCCCCCCCCCCCCCCCTCACGCCATGTCGCTTCCCAGCTGGGTTTTCGGCAGGGGGCGGGAATTAGATCAAGGCTGTGAAGTGCAGTACGATGTACAACAACGTGGAGGATCAGACTCAATGTGCTAAAATTGGGCACATTTTCATCCTGGATTGGCACGTATCGTGTACAGCAGTGGCTGCGTCGGTTCAACATCGTATTTCGTTGTGTACGCCGAAGTCACTTCACAAGTAGAAAATCGACAGGGGCGGGAATTAGAGAGGGGGGGGGGGGGGGGGGGGGGGGGGTGGACCAGCGGTACGTTACGTTATATATAACGAGGAAGTAAATCTAACGTTTTAATGGATGACATTTCTTCGTTATAATAAGATCCGTTGAGGCCATACTGCTTCATATGTTGTGTGTGGATATGCCGGAATACTGCAAGATCGTTAACATATCTTCTCGTTGACCTATGAATTTTGGACAATCGTTAACTTAAATTTGGGACTCGTTATAATAACATGTCTTGCAGTAGCAGGAAATTTTCGGCCGGAATGTATTTTCGTACGATTTTGTACACGGCCTCTTTAGTACTAAAAAAAATTCAATTGCCTGTCTTGACATGCTACGAGGTGCAGACATAAATAAATGAAATTAATAATAAAATCAATTTCGTACTAAAAGTTGTGCATGTGAAATTATGTACACTATACATGCATACTGCATGGGAACACGTGCATCTAGCACGCAGCACTGTACGAAAATAAAATCCGTACGAAAGGTCGAAATTCGGCTTTGTCCGAAAATATTCCCGGAAAATTTCCTGCTATACAGTACGTCTGATATCACGTGTACAGTGCGCATTGCATCTTGAAAATGACGTCAACTTGAAATTCTGTTGGGGCAGCACCCATAGTAGTGTTGCACACTCTTAGGGGGGGGGGGGGGGGTACTGTTGGCACCATTTACCCCAGCGTTTCTCCGGCGTTTCAGGTGTACACGTTGCTGGTTGTCTTGTCCAAAAATGGCCGAGTCATACTACCGTAGACAAACTACTTCCACCATGAGTTTGCGACTGTTATCTCTTTTCAAAGGGCCAGCTGCACGGAGCGCTGCCCCATTTCTCTGTGCTTACCCGATATGCCCACAAATATGACGTCAACATGAACATTCTGCCGAGACAGCAGGGTATGCGAGAGTTGCACACTCTGGGGGGGGGGGGGGGGGTATGTACTCTATTGAACAAAAAGGAAGAAAAAAGGAAGAAAAAATAAATTGTCAGAAGTGGGATTCGAACCCACGCCCACATACGTGGACCAGAAGGCTCCAAACTGCATTGACTGCAGAAGGTTCAAGACCTTGAGTCTGGCGCCTTAGACCGCTCGGCCATCGTGAGAACACACTTACCATTGTGCTTCCAGCAACATTTGATACACTCTAGCAAGTGCAAGCACTCAGCAATGCAAAATAGTACACGGGGTTCAACAGTGCAGTACACGGGATGTCCATTAGTTTGAGGGAGCTGTAAACGAGGCACTTGATCTCTGTAGACAGGTGGTCTCTGTAGATAAATTATCTCTGTAAACAGGTGGTCTCTGTATCATAGTACTGGTGGTCTCTGTAGATAGGTGATCTCTGTAGACAGATGGTCACTGTTGACAGGTGGTCTCTGTAAATAAGTGGTCTCTTTAGACAGGTGCGGGTCTCTGTAGATAGGTGGTCTCTGTAGATAGGTGATCGATCTCTGTACACAATATGGCTTCTGTAGACAAGGTGGTTTCTGTAGACAGGTGGTATCTGGACCCAACAGTGCCAGAACACTATTACAAAGAACGTGACCAATTGCGGAAGAAGGCGGGAAAGGGTAGAGAGGAGAACGACAGACAGAGATTCCCACATAGAATTCAGAACTTGTTAGGTGTTCTGCCTGCCAGAGAATCGCTTACCGTGAAACTCTGAGTTGCAGCCAAAAAAATCTATCCGACTTCTGTGTTCAATAGCTCTGCCCCTGGTCATTGAGAAGTGTGTGAGCTGTATCTGAACAGTGGAAGTTGTCTACCGTATATAGGCTGTGCGAATGATGCCATGGTGATTTGTATTTTTTACTTTTATTATATCAATATCTCATAGCATGTCGTTGAGACTGCCGCTAACGTAGAGATATGGGTGATTGCCAACCATGGATTATAAGATGCTGCAACAAGAGAAGCGATAAAGAGAGCTGAGACAGCAAAACCGCTTATGGGCGCTGTCAAGAGCACATTGTACTCTTGGCGCTATGTATACAACGCGAGTCACTAGTGACTCACTAGTGAGTCGCTAGTGCATCGCTATGCCGCGACTTTGCCAACGCATCTCGACCGATGATGTAACCGTATAATCTGTGTAAGCCGGTGACGGTTGTTCTGTGTGTTGTTGCAGTGCTACAGGTTAAGTCAGAAACCTAAAGGCACCATCATCCCAAGCGGCTACATAGTCAACGCCAATGTGCAGGATGCCCAGCGAGTGCGGCTCACACAGCTAGCTGGCAAGATGAGTAAGTGCCGGGCTGTGTTGCACCGTGCTTCGGCGCTGGGCACTCTGTGGAGTTCGTTAACAAAATCACAGTTCGCGTGAAACTCGGCTGAAGGCCGAGTTTTCCGCATCCGCAGGAGCGTGGCGCCACCACTCTCTAGGATCAAGGCGCAGATGCAGCTGCTAAGCGGTGGGGGGCAGGCATAGTGGGATGGTCTAAGCCATGTATGGGTGACCATGATTGAGAAACAGAGGGTACCAGGTTCAAGTCCTGGAGTTTGTTAACTACATATTTAACACTGTGACCAGGTGCTTCTGGAGTACACTTTACTTTAAAACCGTACACGAGGGCATCTCCAGTTTGAATATAAATCATAGTACACACCCGATTGACCTATGCGCTTACTGGCCAGTAGTTACCATCTACAGTCGTCCCTCTCTAATCCGGCACCTTTTGCAACGGCATTTTCTGCCGGATAAACAAGGGTGCTGGATTATCAAATCCTGCCCTCCAACCCGGCTCACCTAGTAACGTACATGTTTGTGTCGTACGTCAAAATGTAGGGATTTTCTGTGTCAATCCAAGTACTTTGTCACAAGTTTGTGGATTGCATGTCTGTAACATGCCATGTCTGTAACATACACTTGGGAATATCCTATGCACTGGTATAGGATATTGGCACCGGTACGGTATGCGATGTACAACTGCTGGATTAGAAAATCAAATTATGTACAGTTTGAGTTATTTGTTGCAGAAAATTGCTGCCGGAGGCGGAATTCAAGTGCCGGATTAAAGCGTAGAAAATGAACTGAAAAAATGCGTTTTGCCAGAAAGTGTGCTGGTTTGCAAGGGTGCTGGATAAACAAGTGCCGGATTAGAGAGGGACGGCTGTATTACTTATCGGCTGTATTACTTATCGGCTGTACGATTGCGTGTGTGTGTGTGTGTGTATGCTCGGGTGTGCCTGGGTGTGCGCATTTTGTGTGTGTGTGTGTGTGTGTGTGTGTATGTACACGCACGTGTGTCTCAGACTCTGTCCAGGACGACCTGCCAGCATTAGCTCAATGGCCGGAGTTCACATTTGAGATATACCACGAGCGTCGTCGTTGCTACTATATCTCTGCGTCGACAATGGAGGAGAAGATCAAGTGGGTGGAGGTGTTCCGCAATGCTGTCCGCAACAACAAAAGTAAGTCTGTGCACAGGTGTGACGAGTGAAACCCGACCTAATGGGTAAAGTATATCCCGCAGTCTCCAGCCGTGGTGCTCTGGTACCCGGTTGAGAGCAGTGTTGAGTTCAACCGAATGATGGAGCCGCGTCAGCACACGAACGTCCGGCGGATTCTGGTGGCCATGAATGAAAAGGAAGAAAAAGCACTGTTTCCCTAACATACTTTTTATCCACTAGCTATGATTTTCTTCAGGTGTCTTTCAAACGCCCAGATGACAACATGCTCTGAAGTTGTGATTCTAGGCCTTCAAACACTGATAGCACTACAGTTGTCCCTCTTTAAAATCCAGCACTTTATAAACCAGCACCCTCTATAAACCGGCATATAAATAATTTTTAGCAACCAAAATGCCCTCTTCATGCACATTGCAGCGGTAAATCAGATTTGTTAATCCACTGAGAACCCTCCCTAATCCAGCAGCAGTATTTCCGTAGCACAACTGATGGCGCCGGACTATAAAGGGACCACTGTACATGTATTGTCAGAACCACTACTACTACTAGCTTACTCGGTTGTCATTGGTAGGTAAGAAAGGTATAGGTGGCTCATAGTCCGTTTTCGCCATACCGGGGGGGGGGGGGGGGGGGGCGAGGTGCTAGAGACCTCCTGTTTCAATGAGCTTGACATGGTAATAGCGAGGGCGGTGCTCGTCTTCTCTCCCTAACACCCGGCTTTGTATTGCTGGGTGCTGTGTGTACTTGCTTGTGTTTCGACTGTCGGCTAAACAAGATTACGCCAAGACAGACCCGGCAAGCGTGGCTGCATTTGAGTTGGCCGTGACCAAATGCCGACAGGAGCTGGGTCATTGGAGCACCTGGTCCTTTGGCGGCACAGAGGAGGAGGTAAGATCAGGCTCAGTGTCCAACTGTCCTGCTTTGGACCAAAACGTGTGTATACATTTACATGGGAGACAATTGCCTTAGCATACATTATGGGTGTTCTGCTTTGGAATGGTCGCAAGGTTGGACAGACTGTAAGATGATTACTAAGATGGCAGCACTATCGTACAGCCACTACCAGTATCACAAACTTGCAGCTGCCCACCTCACTGCCAATGGACTTCACAGCCTACATACAGTAAAAACCTGGTTTAAGCAACCACCCCTCGGTGCAAGTAACCACCCCTCGGTGCAAGCAACCACCCCTCGGTGCAAGCAACCACCCCTCGGTGCAAGCAACCACCCCTCGATGCAAGCAACCACCCCTCGGTGCAAGCAACCACCCCTCGGTGCAAGCAACCACCCCTCGGTGCAAGCAACCACCCCTCGGTGCAAGCAACCACCCCTCGGTGCAAGCAACCACCCCTCGGTGCAAGCAACCACCCCTCGGTGCAAGCAACCACCCCTCGGTGCAAGCAACCACCCCTCGGTGCAAGCAACCACCCCTCGGTGCAAGCAACCGCCCCTCGGTGCAAGCAACCACCCCTCGGTGCAAGCAACCACCCCTCGGTGCAAGCAAACGCGGTCGTTTAAGCCAGGTGGTCTTTAGAACCAGGTCCCATACATTCGTGGCGTATGGGATCTTGCCACTTTTTAATGCTTCCAGGACTCATGCACGAGTTTCACACCTCACTCATGTGCGTGCAGCCCACCCTGCACGGTCACTTGTTGTACATGTATGTTGACTGCATGCCTAGCTTTAGATAGGGATATCAGCGAACGCACTGCACAGCCCATCTGCGCAGGTCAGCCTGGCCCATCTACGCGCGGCCGACAAGAAAACTCATGAACGCTTTCATTTTTTTGCAAAATAAATCGTGCGAAGAAGATGCACGGAATGGCTGAAAACTAGGCTGAGGAATAGTAGCATCCAGAGACTCTCAAACAAATTCATGGTTCATCGCTTCTGACAATGGCAGCGAAGACATCAGGGAGCTAATTGCAGCAACTCTCTACCAAGCGTGATGCTGGTTACTCACCAGGGCAGGGCGCTTCCATCGCGCAAGAAATGGCCGCGAGCGAGAAATGGAAGTCCGATTTTGGAACGATCCAACCAGGGAAATTCCTTGAAAATTGGCCTGAACACCTCTCATACTGGTGTTTCACGATGTGCAAACTTTCAGAGAAATCGACGGGGGAGAACGTGGTGAGTACGTGGGTCCTCGAGTATCGCGTATGATTTGAATGGTCGCGGAGACAGAAGAACAGTAATTTTACGACTCCCAGCGGTGCAAACAGACCGCGGCCATGTTTTCTCTGTCGGCCGCGATCACGTTCAAAAAATCGATGACGCAATGCATGCGCAGAGGCCTGCGCAGTGCGTTCGCTGACATCCCTACTTTAGAGCCCACTTCAACCCGGTTGCAGTATGCAGGGCCAGGATAGCACTTTTGGCTAGTTTTCGTCACTGTATGCAGGTCAAACATGACACTTGGCACACTAAAAGTCGGCCGCTGGTCGCGCAAGGCAGGTGGTCGCTGTATCCGGTGCAGTTGCTGTGTAGAACTGTCCGTGTATGGAAAAACTGACATTACAAGCAAGTGGTCACGAAAACCAGAGGTCGCGTAAACCAGTTTTTACTGTTACATGCATGGCCAACACCAATAAAAGACGCCCAGTGGCAGTGGGTAGGCTGAAAGTGTTGCTCAAGGCAGTTTTGGTGATTATGGTTGTTTGTGAAATTCTTCCCAGTCAATCCTCGGTAGTATAGTGGTAAGTATCTCCGCCTGTCACGCGGAAGACCCGGGTTCGATTCCCGGCCGGGGAGGACATTACTTTTTGTCTTTTTTTGTCCGCAGCAAATATAATTACCCCGGCCCCCGTTCTTGGACATGCAGTCGAATAACGTGGTGGAGTTCTAACACTGAACCGTAGACACGTGCAGCCTGCACAAGAGTTCTGTGTTGACGTTTACTTGCATGGACTTGTGTGCGGGCATGCGGGCATGTTTGCACACATGACCGAGTGTAACTGTTACTACGTGTTGTGTTCATCAATTCCTGTATGTGTTCTAGGTGCTGGTGGACATGGTGATCAGTGACCTGGAGGATACACTGCTGGGTGATGTCTACCTGGGTCTCAAGGGCAGTCTGGCTAATAGGCTGAAAACAAGGCAACAGGTCAGTACAGTAAAACGAGGTTTCAACGATTACACCACGGTGCAAGCAAAAACAGTCTTTTTAAGGCAGGTGCTCTTTAGAACAAGGTCCGATACATTCGCGGCATAACAGACGGCAGTGCACATACTTTCGCATACTCATATTGACATGTGCTGGGCGCAGAACATTTTCATGCAGACCAACTTGGCGGCGTCTGTGAGTTTTCACACCTCATCCAAATGCATGCAGCGCACCCTGCACTTTCACTGGTCCCGTCCATTGACAGCAACATCAGCCAGGACAGCACTGGCGGTCGCTGTATGCGAGTCAGATATGGCACTTGGTATACTAGAAGTTGGCCGCCGATCGTGCAACGCAGGTCACGGGCTGTCGCTGTTTCCGGAGCAGTTTCTATGCAGAACTGCCGGTACATGGGAATCGGCTGTTGAAATCAGGTGATCGCTAAAAGCAAGAGTACATAACCAAGAGTGTGCAACTCCTATCTGGAGCTGCGATGGGTTCACCCACGGCGGAATTTTTTATTGCGTCATTCTTTGGCTGAAGTATGATCAAGTGCGTATGCTTTCCCGTGCACTTTTTGTTGAGAGATCACCAGGTTCAGGACACATCGATCTATCGTCCGTTGTTCTGCTTCGACTACCGTAGCCGTGATGTACAAATTCTTTGTACTTTGATCTCTGGCGACGCATGATGGCATTAGCGAGCCAAACAGCCACCAAAGACTGATGTCATAAAAAAATTCCGCCGTGGGCTGGGGGATCGTCGAGTTGCACACTCTTGGTTATGTACTCTTGCTAAAAGCTAATACCAGGGTCACGTAACCCAGGTTGTAATGAAGTGACAGCCGACTCACATCACGATTGCTTCCAAGCCCACGGTTCCCATGCTGTTAGAAGTGCTGTGTGTATGTGCTGGTCCTGATGCCAGAGACACCACTCACCATACTGGCACATTGCCTCCATGACTACACACGTTTGAGCGCGGCATGAAACAGTCAGTGTGACCTTGCTATGCTGTCACTCAGGGAGTCTCCCCTGCGTGTACAGTCTGTGCAGATAAGCTAGTCCCGCTGACTTTTGCCATAGAACACCTGTTTTACTTCTACCAAAAAACCTGGATGAATGCTTTACTCCTTTAAAGGAGAAGGGGAAGTATACCCTAAAATCAAATTTTCACTGTTGTATTATGATGTAATGCATTACGTAGCCATGCAAGAGCATGCGCGAGATACGCATCTCGCAGCTGCCTACTTTCATGCAGGATCCTTTAGATGTTGCGGTTCTTATGATTTGCCTACAATGGCTAAGTGAGAATATAATCCTGTCGTAAACAACTAACGTACCCCGAAACATGGTGTCAGAAGTAAACTAAATAAACGCCCTAGAATTGTCGCAGTAGCGCCACCGGCGCAAGAGGTACTGAAAAAATGACAGAAGCAGCCGGATTTACCCCGCCGTCGATGGATTGGCAAGCCGCAGATTTACCTGACGAATTCGAGCGGTTCCAACAATACTGCCTTCTAGTTTTCCAAGGGCCCTTTTCCGACAAGTCCGACAAGGAAAAGGTCGCCTATGTCATGCTATGGATCGGGAGAACTGGTGTTGATGCTTTCAATAGTTTCGAGTGGGATAATGCAAGCGACAAATCCAAAGTAGCTGCCGTGTTCAAGAAATTTAATAAGCATTTGCAGCCACGGGTAAATGCACGACTGGCTCGGTTTGAGCTTCAGAAATACCGCCAGCAACCCGACGAGTCTGTAGATGATTTTTTTGCGAGGCGTAAGAAGAAGACGTCCAAGTGCAAGTTCAGGGACGCTCAGGAGACTAACGATCGCCTGATAGAACAGCTAATCGTGGGGACGAAGCACTCGAAAGTGCAAGAACGCCTGCTGGAGGGTGGTAGTGATTTGACTCTGGACGAAGCGCTTGACAAGGCCCGTACTTATGAAGCAACACAGCGCCACATGGAGCAGCTGTCCACCGCCACCAGCAGCAGCCGTCTACCTGAAACGGTTCACGCCATTTCCAAATCTGTGGGACACGCAGACTGCGGCAAATGTGGACGAACCCACCACCCAAGCAAGTGCCCAGCGCACGGCTCCACCTGCAACAAATGCGGGAAGGCGAATCACTGGGCAAACGTATGCCGTTCGCAGGGGAGAGACGAGGCACATGGAAGGGGCCAGCAACGCGGACGCTGGCGCCAGAGGAGCCCCAGCCCGCGGGAGCGCTACCCCCAGAGGAGCCCCAGCCCACGGAGACGCTTCGACGCACTGCATTTCGACGCCGTCATCATCGACAGCGTCGAGCGTCACCAACCGCCACTAAAGCGAGAGGTGTTCGCGACCCTCAATGTCAGCCTGGACAACACCAACAGACCGGCCACCTTGAGAGCCAAGGTGGATACGGGCGCCCAGGGCAATATATTGCCGCTGAGAGTGTTCTGCCAAATGTTCCCCCAGCACGTCGGACCAAACGGATACCCAAAGCCGAAGTCCGTGAAGCCGTCAAGTACCACCCTCACAGCGTACGGCGGATCCAAGATAAAGCAATGCGGAACCCGTCCTATTCCGTGCTCTTACGATGGCAAGAGTCAACTCGCTGACTTCTACATCACGGACTGCCCTGGCACTGCTATCATCGGTCTCCCGACAGCGACAGCCCTGCAGTTAGTCACGCTGAACTGCGCTGTCCAGGAGAAGCCAGCAAGCATCCGAGACAAGGACGACCTGATGAAACAATACCCGAAGTGCTTCGATGGCATTGGGAAATTCCCAGGCAAGTACCACATCACGGTGGACCCCAACGTCGTCCCGGTTGTACACCCTCCACGCCACCTCCACGCCATCGCACTGAGAGACGAGATCAAGACGGAGCTGGAGGACATGATCCAGAATGGCATCATCACCAAGATCCAGGAAGGCGAACCAACAGCGTGGGTGAACAGCCTCGTGTTCCGCCTCAAAGACAATGGCAAGCTACGCCTGTGCCTAGACCCCAAGGACCTCAATCACGCCATCCTGCGAGAGCACCACGTGGTCTCCACCATTGAGGAGATCACCCCGAAGTTGAGAGGTGCCAAAGTGTTCTCGATCGTCGACGTCAAATGTGGGTACTGGAATGTGGAGCTCGACGACGAATCCAGTTACCTCACCACCTTCAACACACCATTCGGGCGCTACAGATTCCTTCGCATGCCATTCGGCCTCAAGATGTCGCAAGATGTCTTCCAAGCAAGGATCGACCAGACGTTCGAAGGGTGCTCAGGCGTCACCGGCATCGCAGACGACATCGCCACATACGGGACGTCAGACGAGGACCATGATCTCAACATGCACCAGATGATGGTTCGCTGCGAACAATCTGGTCTCAAGTTGAACCCAGACAAATGCCGCATCAAAGAGGACAAGATCAAGTTCTTCGGCATCATCTGCAGCGCTGACGAAATACAGCCCGACCCGAAGAAGGTCTCCGCGCTGAAGCAGATGGAGCACCCCGAGAACGAGGACGAGCTCCAGACGTTCCTCGGGCTAGTCACGTACATGAGCCCGTTCATACCGAATGCCAGTACACTGACCGCGCACCTGCGTGAGCTGACCAAGCCAGATACACCGTTCGCCTGGACAGACAGCCACCAGCGCACCTTCGACAAGGTCAAGGCCGCCATTTCGACAGAAGTAACGCTCAGTTACTTTGACCCAGGCAAGGCAACGACACTACAAGTCGACGCTTCCATGAAAGGTCTCGGCGCCACTCTGCTGCAGGACGACAAGCCTGTTGCATTCGCCAGCAAGAAGCTTACCGAGACGGAGTCTCGCTACGCCAATATTGAGCGTGAGCTCTTAGCTGTCGTATACGGGTGTGAAAGATTCCACACCTACCTATTCGGTCAGTCATTCACAGTAGAATCCGACCACAAGCCGCTGGAGTCAATCAAGCTCAAGCACCTCCGCGCAGCCCTGCCGCGTCTACAGCGCATGCTGCTGAAGCTGCAGCCGTACGACATGACCATCAAGTACCGCCCCGGAAAGGACATTCCGATCGCAGACGCGCTATCCCGACTGTCGCCAGAGGAAACAGAGCCAATTGAGGACCTCGACGTCAGTGTACACGCCGTGTTCCCGCAATTCAGCGATGCAGCGATGACGAGGATCCGCGAGGAGTCGGCTAAAGACGCCGAGATGTCAGCACTGAAGGAGATGATCTTCAGTGGCTGGCCATCAGAGAGGAGCGCGGTGCCGGCAATTCTGCTCCCGTACTGGAATTTCCGCGACAAGATGAGCACCGAGGACGGTCTCATCCTGAAGAGCAGTCGCGTCCTGATTCCCCCGCCAATGAGGGGGGAAATCCTCAGCAAGCTGCACGCCAGCCACCAAGGCATAGAGAAGACCAAGCTGCGAGCCAGAACGTCCGTCTTCTGGAAGGACATCAACAAGGATATCGAAGCAACTGTCTTATCTTGCACGACGTGCCAGCGCCACCAGAGCAGTCAAGCCAAGGAACCACTGGTGCAGCCCGATATTCCGCCAAGGGCATGGCACACCTTAGGCACGGACCTGTTCTACCTCGGCGGGTCAGAATACCTCATTGCCGCCGACTACTACTCCAAGTACTGTATCACCCGGAAGCTGCCTGCCGGACAAGCGACCAGCAGGGCCATCATCCAGCACCTCAAGGAGATTTTCGGTGAGCACGGCATCCCAGCCGTGCTGAAGTCGGACAACGGGCCGCAATACAGCAGCCATCTGTTCGCGGAGTTTGCTGCCGAATATGGATTCCGCCACAGTACGTCGTCGCCACATCACCCGCAGAGTAACGGGTTTATCGAATCGCAAGTCAAGATCGCTAAGAGAGCTCTCGAGAAGGCAAGGGAGAGCGGGACCGACCCGCACTTAGCACTGCTGTGCATTCGCGCCACCCCAGTGTGCCAGGGCTTACCGTCGCCGGCCGAGATGCTGTTCGGTCGTCAGGTACAGGACAACCTGCCTCGCAAACACCAGCGCGACACTCGGGACGAGGCCATCCGACAGAAGCTCGAGGAACGGCAGGACCAGCAGAAAGTACACCATGACCAGCGAGCGCAGTCTCTCCGCCCCCTAGTTCCTGGTCAGCACGTCGGCATCCGCAGCCCGACCACGCACCTGTGGGAACCTGGTATCGTAACCCAGTCTGTCAACGAGCCACGGTCATACATGGTGCAGCCTGACCATGGGACAGAAGTGCGGCGCAACCGTACCCACCTCAGAGAGAGGCGGGTCCACTTCCCGCCGGATTCCAGTCTCGCAGGCCCTCAGCCGCCGAGTGACGTGCCGTCGCCGTGGAGCGACGTTAGCCAGTCTCAGCCGCCGTCACTGTGTGACGTCAGTCAGCCTGCTGAACCTGCCACCCAGCTGTATCGAACACGGTCTGGCCGCGCAGTCGCACCCAGGTCAATCCTGGATGTGTAGGGCCAGAGAGGCCTCATGGACCTGTTCGCTTATGTCACAGTAGCTGAGGTGCCATTGTTATATTGTACATAGAGCTATTGTTGGATACTATGTCTCTGTATTGTTAGCACGCCGCCGTGTGCCATTCATGATTGTTACCTTGTACATAGAGCTATTGTTGGATGTTATGTTCTATATTGTGAACACGCCGTCATATACGTACGGTATGTTATGTAGGTTGTTAAACTCCTTTATGACGAAGGGGATGTTGTATTATGATGTAATGCATTACGTAGCCATGCAAGAGCATGCGCGAGATACGCATCTCGCAGCTGCCTACTTTCATGCAGGATCCTTTAGATGTTGCGGTTCTTATGATTTGCCTACAATGGCTAAGTGAGAATATAATTCTGTCGTAAACAACTAACTTACCCCGAAACATTCACCAGTTGTAGTCTTCGGGGTGCTGAGTCGAATGGTCTTGGTCCGAGGAAGCTGAGACGCTCCCTTCCTTCTTTAATCCCAATCGAACTCGCGCACTTCCACCGAAACTGGGTGACTGCGCCCTACTAGATGGGGATTTATATGCAAAGTGCCATTTCGTTCTTATAAAAGCACAGATGACCGCGATTGGCCAATATGTTATAGTCTTTTGGACGCTGAGTCGACTGGTTTTGGTCCGAAAAGGCTGCGATGCAGCGTTCGGCCCTTATTCCCAATCGAACATGGCTGAACAAGCGGTCACGTGCTCTTGCGTACACCAGTCACCTGGTCACCGTGCCTGCAGGCTACAACTTACAGCATGTTTTAGCGAGTTTCTGTCACTCGAGTTGAACCTTTGAGTGGAACCTTGGTGTGAAAATTGTCGCCTGCTGGCGTGGTGACCAGGTAACTGGTGTACGCAGCACCACGTGACCGCTTGTTCAACCATTTTCGATTGGGAATAAGGGCTGAACGCTGCATCGCAGCCTTTTCGGACCAAAACCAGTCGACTCAGCGTCCAAAAGACTAAAACATATTGGCCAATCGCGGTCATCCGTGCTTTTATAAGAACGAAATGGCGCTTTTAGTGACATTTTGCATACAAATCCCCATCTAGTAGGGTGCAGTCACCCAGTTTCGGTGGAAGTGCGCGAGTTCGATTGGGATTTTAAAGAAGGAAGGGAGCGTCTCAGCTTCCTCGGACCAAGACCATTAGACTCAGCACCCCGAAGACTACAACTAGTGAAATTTTGATTTTAGGCCTTAACTTCCCCTTTAAAAAGACTTTGGCACCCTAGGCTATTGCAGACACGGGCCATCCAATGCGGGCTGTACATTTGTTTCCTTTGTACGTGTGTCACTAAGTGTTCAGGGGGCGGTGGAGCTGGTCCAGTTGGTCAGGCCGTGACCGGACCAACTTTTCGGCCTCCAGCGCGTGTTTGCTGCTGAGGAGGTCATGTGTCTACCCTCCATATCATACCGTGACAAAGTATGAAAGGCTGGGGTACTGCCAGACTAATCAAAAACTGCTTCCACCGGTCCTGATGTTCAAGACATGCAGAGATAGGGTGTCACATGTTCCAGTATAGACACGCTGTAGTGTGTGTGCTGTGTGTTCGAATTTCGCTTTTCTCCTGTGCTCTGTAGCTGATGGCGAGGCTCGTTAGCATGGTGACGGACAGCGTCAACATGATCCTGGAGAAGATGAAGGCACAAGAGCACATGATACACCTTGAGACCAAGGACTTGCTCGGTCAGAACATGATGGCAGTGGACATCACTGATAGGGAGATGACTGCGCAGTTACGAGGTAGGATACCGTAATCAGTATTAATCACGTACCAGGACCGGCGGAAGCAATTTTTGATTGGTCCTGCCACACCCTAACCTTTCATACAGTTTGTGTATGATATGGACGGTAGTCACATGACTTTCGTACAGTTTGTGTATGATATGTAGCGGGGTAGTCACATGACTTTCATACAGTTTGTGTATGATATGTAGTGGGGTAGTCACATGACTTTCGTACAGTTTGTGTATGATATGGACGGTAGTCACATGACTTTCATACAGTTTGTGTATGATATGTAGTGGGGTAGTCACATGACTTTCATACAGTTTGTGTATGATATGTAGCGGGGTAGTCACATGACTTTCATACAGTTTGTGTATGATATGTAGTGGGGTAGTCACATGACTTTCGTACAGTTTGTGTATGATATGGACGGTAGTCACATGACTTTCATACAGTTTGTGTATGATATGTAGCGGGGTAGTCACATGACCTCCTCAGCAGTAAACACAAGTTGGTGGTCAAAAGTTGGTCCGGCCATGGCCTGACCAACAGGAGTGGTTCCGCCGGGCCTGCGTACACACACACCCACCCTGGGATCTGCATCATACAAATAGGGTATTGCGTTGTTCCCTGTAATGGTGCAGGATTTACCTCACAGTCCCTCACAGTGGGTTTCATACCGAGTCATGATCGCCTACTCATATTATTTATGATCGCAAGTTCCAAAAGAGGTCCAAAAGAGGGTGATAGCAAGATTACACAACTGAAGGGTTCGAATTGACTGGGCACTCTGGCAGGGTTTATGGCACTTCACTATTGCGGCATGTTGTTGTGTCTACACTGTACTCGTAGGTAATCCGGCTGATGCTTATTGCTATAGGTAATCCGATGCTTGTTGCTTCACACATACCCAACAACAGCACACATAGTCCAGACATATGCTCACGTTTCGATTGCGCGAGAACTTGAGCAAGAAGAAAACAGTGAGGTACACGTGCGCCCGAAAAAGCACATGCTAATGCAGAACAAGTACTATGTTATTTCAGCATCATGCGTAAGAACCACTGTGCTATTATGATGACATCATACAGCACTGCCACTAGGTCATTATGACATCATACAAGCATGTGTACTGTCACTACTGTGTTGTATCATGCCCGGCTATGCTGCAGACCTGGCAGATGAACTGTTGATTCCCTGGATTGGTGAGCACGTCGTACCAGTGCTACCGGACATGTTGAAGTTGTTGACAGAAAAGGTAAGTGATCTTCATGTCTTCCCGGCCATTGTGCACTCACTTCGGCCATTGTGCACTCACGTCAGCCATTGTGCACTCACTTCGGCCATTGTGCACTCACTTCGGCCATTGTGCACTCACTTCGTCCATTGTGCACTCACTTTGTCTTGCTGACACAAAGGCCGTTTTATTATTATTTTTGTTGAGCACACTGCAACAAAGCGCGATCGCAGCTCAGCGCAAACGTGGTGAACAATGAAGAATCCTTGTCCCTGATCGTAGCGTCTTCTTGGTTTGTTGCAGAATCAAAAAGTCTTTTATTGCAGTCATACAGTACACACTGAAATGGCACCAAATGCCCGGAAATGCTTGCAATTGGCTTCAATTTTTGAATTTTTTCCCAGAGGGCCCCCGACCCCCTTCCATGGCCGCCCCACCTCCAAAGTCGGTGCGAAGGGCCTGTAACACATGCATGCAGTGGACACATGTTAGGCTTGCACCTCAGTGGACCTTTCTTTTGACAGGGAAATGAGGATGGAGGCTACATTTTCTCCTATGGGTGTACATGGTTCTATGGTGTAATGGTTAGCACTCTGGACTTTGAATCCAGCGATCCGAGTTCAAATCTCGGTAGAACCTTTTTTATTATTAAAATATCCTCCTGTATTGAATGTGTTGCTCTTCTGGCGTTCATTCTGCATCGACGCCATGCCACTTCTTCGTCCACTTTATTTTTCGCTTTATTCGGGAAATTCTTAAAAAAAAGTTTTTTTACCAGAAAAGTTAGGATCCACATCCCTCGTTTATAGAAAATGTAGAATTATCAGTCAAGGGTAGTGTAATATAAAACCAGAGGCTGCAACACTCCACCTACTAGTCACATGATACTGCATAGACCACTCCCATAGGGACATTTCTTTGTTTAGGTCATAACCTTACCACAGGCTCATTCTCCTGGAGTTGCACACTCTGGTTTATGTACTCTTGGTAGTGTGGAAATGGTGCACCAATGCACTGACCAAACCAGGTCCCCAGCGCCAACGACAACAGGTTTCAAATGTGTACAGTTTCAATGGTGTATCTGCAAGGCGTGTTCCTGACACTTGATATCACCTTGTTGTTTCGGTCCCAGGTTGATGCAGCATTCACTGAAGCACGGTATGTATTCGATAGCAAGATTGCCGGCTTGTTTGACGCTATACGTGCAGATAAAGAGCCGCTTGTGAAGAATGTAAGTCAGAGGCATAGATACGGGTGGCTTCTGAATGCCTGGCAACCACTAAAATGTTTCGTTGACATAAAGCCTGTCTCATAATAGACCCTTTGCACAATAACGGTCACGTGATCCGAGACGGGGCATCCTCTTCGATTTTTGTGCAGAGTATCAGTTGTTGAGCATGGTGGAACACTGTATTTTTCCATTTGGAGATGGAGGAGAGAGTGTCGAGTGGTTTGCCATCGATGGCTATGGCACCCGTGGACGAACTGTCAAAATGAAGAATGGTCTGTGAAGGAACTGAACAGTTTTCTGCTGAATGAGGGTGCGTATCTGTCTGGAAAAAGAAGGAGTTGTTGGAGCGGTACGTTTTCCGCATTCAGTGGATATTTCGGATTAGTGTAGATTGAAATTTATTTTTATTTTCTCTACCTTCTCTCCTCTGTCGATGTAGAGAACACTTCTCTATGCAGAACCCTGATGCTCCTAGAACTAAGAAGGGCACCACTTCCTCGAGTGTACCTTCATCATGCCCAACATGTCATGCGTCCCAGTGGATGAGTGATGAACCTCTGTTTCCCAGAGTGAGTGCCACACCATGCTTGCTCGTCTTCAACGCAGGGGCAAGTCGCCGACGACAGTGAAGAGGGAGCTGTTGGAGTAGTACTAGTGAACAAGCCCATGGATAGTGTCCATGAGTTTTACTTTGGTGGCTATGTGCATAATGTGAAAGTCTGTCATATCGTGCATACAGCCACAGCTCGAACTCAGATGACTTTCTCCGCACACCTGAGCGATGAGGCTGCGTCTCTCTCCACTTCAACATCAGCAGCTCGAGCAGCGCCAGCAAGCAGTCGATCTTCCAATAGGGAAGACAGGGATGGGTGACCGGTCATGCCATTTTCTCAAGCTCCAGAGTCTCTTGGCAGGGCGTTCCATATCTTCGCAAAAGCAAGGATGAAAGTCGCCATGGACAAAGTGTTCCGAGCACAACACTGTGAACGATATCGCAGCACTGCGGCCCTCTTCTCGCCAGATAGCCAGGATTCCAGAGTGTGGAATGCCAGCATCACCAGGGGACGCATGGAAAGACAAGTGGGTTCCTTAGACTAACGTTAGGGATGACGGTTGCTGCAAACAAGAACCCAACAGTGGTCCTTGGAAAGCATTTCAGAACTTCTTCCTTCAAGAACTAAAAAAACTTCAAATGAAAAAAGGCTGGGGAGTACATACATGAACATCGCGTCGGGACCGTGAAAACACAGCCTGTCACAGGAAACTTGATCACGTCCTGCAGCAAACAAAGCAGGCTGGTTGCATGCCAAGTGTGCAGCGCGTGCACAGCATGCCCCGTCTCGACCCCTCTCGCTTATTGCGCAAAGGGTCTATTATAGAAGCCTGTTTTGAATACAAGCCTGATTTTCAAGACACACCGTCGGCACATAAGCCTGGTGTTAATGATGACGCACATAGAAATACCTGGTTTGAATAGAAGCCTAGCCCTGACATCGGCTTCTGCAGTAATACGCTGAAGTAATACGGGACATTACGGGCACCAGCGGCAGGAATGTACACATCTCTTTTCACTGATACATTTTGGAAAATGGAACTTCTGGCACATTGCCGCAAGATTTGTACAGTACAGTACCTTTGGTGTGGTGCATGTTAATTGCATTTGTCACCAATACAAGCACCTTTGTGCTGTCCTATATCTCCCCCCCCCCCCCCCCCCTCTCCCTCCTCCTCCGTTTTACTTGTAGCATCATGACCTGCTATGTACGCTGAGCTTCAACTATGAAGAAATGCACCGCGTTATTGACAAACTCAAAGCACTCGAGCAGATCTTGATCGGGTTCCGTGAGCACTTCAACGACGTCCAACCATGGCGAGTGATCTATTCGGTGCAGACGAGAATAATGAAGGTAAGCACATTTTATAGCGTGCGATTTCAGACTGCAGTGCGAGTGACATCATCGTGTATACGAATGACATCATTGTATACGCTTTGTGTTGACTCTCGAATCTTGTCTGGCTGGTGCTTGTAGTGACACTAAATGCAGATGTAATTGCAGAGTTGATACTAATGACTGTGATCGCTGGTATGGCGTTAAAGCAGAAAGTTACATATAAGTTCATGTGTATATGTCACGGTGTGCACGTGTGTGTGTGTGTGTGTGTGTGTGTGTGTGTGTGTGTGTGTGTGTGTGTGTTCCGTATTGTGCAGTGGTATGTGCAGCGATTTCCAATCGAGAGGTTGCGGGTTCGATTCCCGACGATTATGGTCACACACGTCTTTCTTCTCTTTCTCAGACTCCTCCTGACTTTTCTTTCATTCTCCTGGGTGGTTACCAACAGCCAGTGCATGCCGGAGTATGTGGTGTGATTTGTGTGCGGGGAAAAAATGAAAAAGACCAAAAAGTAGGGATTCACTGGCCAGAAAAAGCCACTTCATAGCTGTGTGGTGTAGACCAGGCTGAATAGTGGCCGTCAATTCTTCAGCCTTGCAAGCTGTTGAATGGTGCAATCCCAGCACGAGCTGCTATGGCTTCTGCTGTAGCATCGCTATCATCACCTCCGGTGATGGGCGTCAAAGGGTCAAATGGTGTGTGTGTGTGTGCGCGCCCGCATGCGTATGTGCACGTGTGATATGTGCATAGGTGTTAGACAATGCCTGCTACAGCTATCAGGATTTGGTACTGAAGGATCTCGCGACGGCCGGTGATAGAAGTCCACCGATTGCTGGACTCCCAGTGGAGAGGCTACGTCTTAAAGAGGCTATGCTCGTTGCTAACACCAAAATCATTGGAGTAAGCTGTGTTAGGTGTACGGGCACACGTTGCAATTTTATTTATTTTTAAATTTTTAATTCAATTTGGTGGTGAGTCAATTTGTTTTCATACTTTTCCCTTGTCCATTCCTTCAACTACAATGTAGTGAATATTTAATTTCAATTCCGCGGCAAGGGAAAGTACTGACCAGGACAATGGGTGTCTGGTAGGGTCTTTCTGAACCCATCCAGCCATACTCAGCATGCTAAATGCCTCCAGTCTGTGTATTGGTCTGCATCACGGCTATCAAAATGGAAAGCATACGCTACCCTCCATGCAAGAGCCATGAATGATAGATCTCAGATACCAGTACTGTATTGACAGACCTTCAGCCTATTTCCCCAGTACAAGTAGTGGTGAGTTACATAGCTGTTGTGTTGCACATTAGGACGCTGCACACTCACTGTATACTGAGTTGAGGGTTGGTCACAATGGCAGACCCACCATGTCCGAATGAGAAGCTCTTTCTCCTGCTGGGTGCCCGTACGTGTCGAGAGGGAGCATGCTGTCTCTCTGGATAGGCATTACAGTATGCATAGTAGATAAACCTTCATATTAAATGATGACGTGTTGTTGACAGATGTTAGAAGATGATAGTGAGCTGGCAGCTGTGGAGTTCTACAAGGAGACATTCCTGAGTATCATCAAGCCCCAGGTGCTGAGGACGATCTATCACGGTGTCAAGCCGGTAAGTTTTCTATCACGGTGTTAAGCCGGTAAGTTTTCTATTTCGGCGTCGAGCCGGTAAGTTTTCTATCATGGTGTTAAGCCGGTAAGTGTCGGCAGCCCGACCAAGTTGGTAACGCTTCTTACTACTAAGTGACTTTGAAGTACTAGTCACGTCTTACCATAGGAGCTCTTTTTTTGGTGCTGACTTGTTGTCTTCGCCATATACGATGTACTCGCTGTCCGTTAGGATAATTGCATTGCAAAGCCGTTTCTATCAGTATGAGAAGCCCATGTGGTGACCTATGTAGGGAAGCATAGCGAGGACCCTGAGCTGCAGTTTTGCGAACCGTTTGAAACGCAGACAGCTTCAGCGGGATTCAAACCCGAACTGATGACATAAAATTATAAATTCCTTGTACCGCTTCAACAATGCTGCTCATTGCTTTAACAATTCTCTCAACTCGATGTACTGTAGAGGCAGAAATTTTCGTCGGTCTATAATTTCGTCCAACTCCAAAGAAAAGGAGTTCGTCCGGTTGAAAATTTCGTCCATGGATCATAAGAGTGTATAGAAAAGCAGGGCAAATCGACATTAGTCCTACATTTAATTTAGTCCAAAAGCTCCTTCGACGAAATAGACGAAATTAAATTCCAGACGAATATTTCTGCTTATACAGTACATGCAGCAACAACACACAAATAACAACGGATAAATGACAAGTCGCGAATTACAACACTTTTCTCACGCCCTATCAATACCAATTCAAGGGTTTTGCTTCCCAAGGTTGACTGTATTTATTAAAGGGGAAGTTAAGGCAAAAATTAAAATTTCACCAGTTGTAGTCTTCGGGGTGCTGAGTCTAATGGTCTTGGTCCGAGAAAGCTGAGACGCTCCCTTCCTACTTGAATCCCAATCGAACTCGCGCACTTCCACCGAAACTGGGTGACTGCGCCCTACTAGATGGGGATTTGTATGCAAAATGTCACTAAAAGCGCCATTTCGTTCTTATAAAAGCACGGATGACCGCGATTGGCCCATATGTTGTAGTCTTTTGGACGCTGAGTCGACTGGTTTTGGTCCGAAAAGGCTGCGATGCAGCGTTCCTCCTTTGTTCCCAATCGAACATGGTTGAACAAGTGGTCACGTGCTCCTGGGTGCCCAAATCACCTGGTCACCACGCCAGCAGGTGACAACTTTCACACCAAGGTTCAACTCGAGTGACAGGACTGCACCCACAAATGGTCAAACAGGCTAGTAAGTTGTACCCTGCAGGCACGGTGACCAGGTGACTGGCGTACGCAGGAGCACGTGACCGCTTGTTCAACCATGTTCGATTGGGAATAAAGGAGGAACGCTGCATCGCAGCCTTTTCGGACCAAACCCAGTCGACTCAGCGTCCAAAAGACTACAACACATGGGCCAATCGCGGTCATCCGTGCTTTTATAAGAACGAAATGGCGCTTTTAGTGACATTTTGCATACAAATCCCCATCTAGTAGGGCGCAGTCACCCAGTTTCGGTGGAAGTGCGCGAGTTCGATTGGGATTCAAGTAGGAAGGGAGCGTCTCAGCTTCCTCGGACCAAGACCATTCGACCCAGCACCCCGAAGACTACAACTGGTGAAATTTTAATTTTTGCCTTAACTTCCCCTTTAACACCATTGAGTGTATGGTGTCAGCTTTGCAAGAATGATATTGTACACAACAAACAACCGCTAGTTCCTAACTGTTTTTCTAGTAGAACAGCGGCTAGTGTTATGACCAATGATTTATAAATGTTGGTGTTGCTTTGAAAAGTTAGCAGGTCAGGACTCAGATGATGATGGGAGCCTTAGTTAACAAGGACTATGTTGAGAAACAGGCTTTGGAAAGCACTTGGTTGCGATTTTCTGGTGGACAAATCGACATAAGTCCGGCATTTAATTTAGTCCAAAAGCTCCTTGAACGAAAAAGACGAAATTAAATTCCAGACGAATATTTCTACTTATACGGTACTAGTAGATCTAAATTAAGCCGAGATGTGATGTATATGGCAGTGTTCTGATTGTGCCGTATGTCCACTACCGTCTCTACTGGTGTACTGTGTGTAGGTGACGGATTCACTGAATCACTCCATTCCAGACTCGTTCCGGCCAGTGTTGTTTGCGAGTGATCTGTTCGAGGCACTTCTAGATGGTCTGATTGAGAGGAGAGTGGATGTTGGTGAGTTGTATCACTCTAACTTAAAAATGCATTGTGGTGATCAAGTGGCATTGTGGAGGCAGTTGTTCCTACTGCACGGGTGGGGACTAGACGTCTGTGTATCCTTACTGCACTGCATTCTTCAGTGCAGTTATTCTAACTGCCCTGTGCACTGCATTCTTCAGTGCTGTTATTTTAACTGCACTCTGCACTGCATTCTTCAGTGCTGTTATTTTAACTGCACTCTGCACTGCACTATTCACCTTCATGTTATTGGGCCCAGTTCCCGTTTAATGTGCAAAGTTAAACAAACACAAACAAACTGTACACTGCATTCTTACTGATGTCCTTACTGATGTTCTTACTGCACGGAGAGCCTTAGCTGTTATCGGTTTTCAAGCACACTTCTCAGCTGACATGAGTGTCATATCACACCAGTGAGCAGAGTGAAGCAGCTTGTAAAACGAGTACAGAGCTAGTAGTGAGCGGGACACTGACTCCAGCGTTTCATGGTATTAGCAACCCCCGCCCGGCCCAAGTGCCCACGGGGAATTCCGGTCTGGTTTCCAATTCGTGCCGGGTCCTGCACTGACTACAGTAAGATCGGGCGCCGAAGAATGCAGGGGCTCAATGCACAGCCTAGCATTGTTCCGAAATGTTGAAGTGTTAGTTGCTTTGTTCGCATTCCACAATCATGGAGAGCACCATGCGATGCGATCACACCACGTGGAAAATATGTAGAAAACGGTACATGCGTTCTTAAATCTGCAAATCTAGCCTGAATTGTTCTTAAATCTGGCCCATTTTCCAGCCTAAATGTTCTTTGGCGAAGTGTTCTTCGGTGTCCGATCATACAGTAAATTGTTAATTGTGTAATGTTAGCGTGATGCCTAATGTTCCGGTGTTATGTTGTCTCTTTTCATGCAGTGCTCGATGCTCTTGGGAAGCGTGTGCGCCTCGAATTTCATCGAACGTAGCAGGCTGGCCATTGATCATTTCATCGGACGTAGCAGCCTGATCATAGCGTTGCTGTAGATCGAGTATGTCTGCACACAGGATGCCACGCGATTCCTTTGGTAAGCGTCACACAGAGAAAGAGGCAGATCCAGCACAAGCAAGTATCTGAGTGTCCGCCATGGTGACACTGCCATTGTGCCCACAAGGTCACATCGTGATCAGTATGACAGTAATGCCTGCTGATAGGCAGTGTGATGATGCCAGTTGTGCTAAGACCGGGTCAATCTGTCACCTGTGCTGGGTCATCTTAGCGTCCACGGAACGTTGGTCTACGGACGAGATGCAAGTTGACGACTTGAGATTGTCACCCGTGCGTGCGTGTGTGTGGGTGTGTGTGTGGTGTGTATGGTGTGTTGTGTGTGTGTTTTGTGTGTCGTGCGTTTCCTAGCACTACCACATCTCATTGTTCACAGTCATTCATACCGTCGGCAATATTTCTGTTGAAATCCTGGCAGCCACGGGCGTCGGTTTGTACAAAACTTGTCATAGGATTTGTCAGCAACCACTGCATGTATCTCCCTGGTCCCTAGAAACGAGTCTGTCTTATGCCGGCATGTCAATATTTCTGGAATATCTTTAGCCTTTGTTGAGATAACTGCCCCGTCATATTGCCCACGTTCTGGCCACGCATTGATTTACTACTTCGAAGTAGTACTTTGCCGAGCTACCCGTTCACACTCTGTACGGTGTGGGGCCGGCCACATGGCTAACTTTCTACTACTACTACTACTACTACTACTACTACTACTACCACTACATGCACATGTACTGCAAAGTATTTTGTTTGCAGGCACTTGAGCCATATGCCTTTTGTTACAACGGTGTTGACCGGACTGGTTTCTTTTTAAAAATTTTTTTCACAATTATACTATTCCTGATAAGACTCAGTTTGAGAGCCAAGGATTTAAGTGAAAAAAGAATGTTGCACGTTCTGACTCACCGGTATCTTGCTTAAACATTTTTGTTAGTGTGGGACACAAACAACGGATAACTACTTGTTAACCTTCGGTCCATCTTTTTTCATACTATTCCTGCTTTTTAATATTTCAAGTTTTCACTGAGCTCAGGACAGGTGCTTCATGGTGATAAGGATCTACAGTGTATGCTGGGCAGAGATTTGGTCCTGAGAAAAAAAGCTTCTCCTCTGCCAGGTAGTCTGTTTGTTTAATTGTTTGTTTGTGTGTGGGCGTGTGTTGTGCGGATTAGGCAGTAGTATCTGGCGCTAGTCTTGATTTAGTATTATATAACCCAGTACTAGTCTTGATTTGTTTCATTGAGATCTTCCGGGCGGATACATCGGGTGCTTGGTGTGTGTGTGTGTGTGTGTGTGTTGAGTGAGTTGAACTGTCCAGCATGTCGCACAAAACAGACAAACCTGCGCGTGTACAGCCCCTTTCCACTCACATCCAGCACTCTCTGAGCAGAATCAGTTCCAACACAAGACTAAGAGTGCTATTTGAAAAAAAAGTGTAGTAGTCTACGTACTTCTCTGCCCGTCTTTGTCCTGGTGGCACCTATCCCGTATATACGTGAAGTATCACCCAGTTGAAAAGTTTGAAAGGAGAGTATCTGCAGCCCGCCATCAGTAAAAGAATAATAATAACTGATAACGAGAGAGCTTGGAAGCTCAGGGCCCTACGCTATGCTTTTTTGCCTTGATGACCTAGGCAAAAAAAAGCATAGGGATGTTATAAATTCTTTAAAAAATTCCTTTTTTTTTTAAAAGACATAACCTGGGATTCGAACCCGCACTATCGCGCGCCCTGCATGCATCCCCCGATACACTTCGCATACCGTATTTTTCCGGTTGTAAGTCGACCTTTTACGACTTAAAATAGAAGGAGAAAGGGTGGGGGTCGACTTACAACCGGGATTCGACTTATAACCGGGAACTATCAGTATCTTACAAAAAATGACCTGCACTGCATGCACGAGTGCAGCATGTTTACACATTTTGCCAGTTTATTGGCCTTTTTCAAGGATTGGGACGTTACACCCTCCAATAAGGAATGTTTACATGATTTGTTGATGTGTTAGCAGCAGGACGTGGTTAGTAGTGCTTCTTTGGGTGAACACTTTAAAACGCAGAATTGAGACCTCCGGATACGGGGGTCGACCTATAACCTGGGTCGACTTACAACCGGTAAAATACGGTACATACTAATTCTTCCAAGTTGTTTCACATTGTGATCTTGCATTTGAAAGCCCTATTTGAATATGCATTTGATGGCACGGTACGGTAGGGGATCGGTACGGGACAGGTACGATCGAGGGTAATACAACACCGTCTCCCGTACCGTACCGTACCATCAAACACAGCTGGCCACATACAGCTGCCCGCAATATTCAAATAGGGCTTTCAAACGCAAGATAATAACGTGAAGCAACTTGGAAGAATGGGTATGACTGCGAAGTGTATGGGGGAATGCATGTAGGGGGATAGTGCGGGTTCGAATCCCAGGATATGCCTGAAAAAATAGGAGAATTGAAAAATTTATAACATCCTATGCTTTTTTGCCGTCAGATACGGATAGCATAGGGATGTTATAAATTCTTTAAAAAATTCCTTTTTTTTAAGACATAACCTGGGCACAAACAAACAAACAAACAAACAAACACACAAATACCAAATTAAAGCTGTGTGGACCCTGGCTAGCGCCAGACGTTACTGAAGTAACGTCTTCTGCATAGCTACGGGAATAATAATTATTATTATTTAATAGCAAGAGTCCATAACTCCGCCGGCCTGGGGTTATGGACTCTTGCTATGGCTGCACATGCATAATGGTGTGTCGAGGCAACTGTCATGTCAACAGGAACCATGCCCATGGCCATGGCAAAGAAAAGGTCCCCATCATAGGGCTTGAAAGTGATGACGTCAAAAACGGCCAGGGAGTAGTAAGTTGACATCAGATTTCTATTTTGGATCCACTAAGGTGTGACTTTGCTATTGCCTCAGTATGTGGGTGCATAGCAACCCACTCAAGTCGTATGCAGGGGTGACTTTTACTTCGCCACCAGTTGTAACCCCGCCCCCAGTAGCCAAATCAGTCAGTTTCACTGGCTACATCACCTTACTGTGAGTAAGACGGCTTGAAATGTGCTTGGATCCATACAAAAACTGGATCCAAGTGGATCCAGTTTTTGAATTTTTGAAATTGTTGCTATGCTGGGACGTAGCACTTTCAAGCCCTATTGTGATATTTACCCCCCCCCCCCCCCTCAAGTAATACACAGTTTGCTGAGACGGTCAAACCTTCTCACTGTACTGTATCCAAATCCGGGCCGCGATCCAACAGCGGGGAAAACGGGACCGACCCTGTTGACATCTCCACCACTGCGTCTGTAGTACTGAACTGTACTGTAGATCTACTGTCTGGTACTTTTTGCTGCCAACAATGACAAAATAATGCCAAATCAACCGATTTACTGCCAATACTGGTATCTCTTGAACTCTTGCCTCACCGCAGGCTCAGGCTCAGACTGTCAGAGTCAGACTGCACAGATTTGACATGACGTGCGTGGTTACTGTTGCTAACCTAAGTTAGAGTGGCGGGAGCGTCGTGCGTAGCGTTCCCCACGGATTTTGAAATGTGTGAAGTCTTCGAGTTCGACAGCCACAGTTCAACACCTTCACCTGTTCACACCAGCACTCTGTCTGTACTGACTGTATGTAGTCCACAGCTAGCACTTCAACAGCTTCATGACTTTGTCAAGAAGTAAAACTAACTTTTCTGACAAGAAATTTCAGTCTCCCTCACTCTGTCCCAGTGCTGAGCTCAAAGATATTTTATAGAAAGAGCTGCTTGGCTGCATGGCCATGTCGTCGGCCAAAGCACGGCGCACAAGCTCCTCCCTGAGCCAAAGCACTGGCAGAAAGCGCTCCGCTCCCCCTCAGTCGTTGCCTGCGCCCAATGGCGAAGACTCGTCTGTGGCGGTGGCTGTTCGAGTGAGGCCGTTCCTGCCAAGGTGAGTCAACTTCATATTTTTGTCTTGGTTCAACCATTCTGACTTTTATGTCGAAATGGCTGACCGGGCGGGACTTGCCGAGTACTTCAAGTGGTCTGACTGTCATGGTACACTTATCTACTAGTATTTTATCAACAGGTTTATAAGACAAGTCTTGTAGTGATATGGCTTCATGCTTGCGCCTATATTTAAGAGTCCGACACTCGTTTACTTCTCACTTACCCTGCTTACTGACCTGGGGGATAATGTGGTTCAGGTGGCCTGTAGGCCGCAAGGTGCAGCGGTCTGGAACACGTGACAGCACTGACAGAAAATAATATTGCAGTTGTGACAGTGAATAATAGTTGTGACAGTGTTTACCAATACGATTATTAGCAGTATGCGTCATACATGTACTTCAATTTTTATATTAGAGAGGTTCCGGGGTACGATTTTCCGTGCCAAACTCCGTATGGGCGCTACGGATTTTTTCCAGGCGTGTTCTACACGATTTTTCGGCACGGAGAATCCGTGTGGACTGGCTTTCATACGAACCATGTTTCGTATGGAGATTTTGCGTCATCGGGTGCAGAAAGATTTTTCGCGTACAAATTCGGTCCGAGAAACATCAATTTTCCGCGGGAAGTTTTGATTTCGGTACAAATTTTCAAAATAAAAAGGCATAGCGCGGGAATGTGACGTGTTTGCGATCGTAACCTAGGCAATGATGGCAAACACATAAGTTCCGTACTCCGGAACATTTCACTGCTCGAAAACGACGTATAAAAAATCCGTAGCGCCTCTACGGATTTTGGCACGAAAAATCGTACTCCGGAACCTCTCTATTGATTATTTGCCTGGTCTTGTGAGTGATAGTGACGTAGTTTGACTTTTAGAACTGAGCGACTTTGCGTTGTTCCTTTCCCTTCAAGTTCAAGTCTACTAGTACTACATTCATGCACGTCGATTATGATAATATATTTTGGATTTATTCCGAAACCGCAGCCAGTGCAGTTCCGGGTATTCTCATACTCTAGTTGTACTGCAGTACCGTAGAATCCCGTGGATAAGCCCATGCTCGCGCACTTCCTTGATACTTTTCAATAGCACAATTTTGGTGTCGGCGTATAAGCCCATGTTCTCATATAAGTCCACCAAAATGTCCTTGTGAAACAGATAGCCCATGGGCTTATCCACGGAATTCTACGGTAATGTCGGTCGCCGAAGAACTGGGGAGTCGGCCTCCCAGCCTAGACCGTTCTTATTTTCATGTATTACAGTCTATTATGCACGTTGGAGTCACCGTGTATACATTGGTATGCTGTGCTTGGGGGCATTCTAGCCTGGTCGTTCTGCGGCACCCAACAATACTGTACTGCACATCGGGGCTGTTTGCATCAGGGAGTAGTACAATATTGTACTACTCCCTGGTTTGCATGCGCGTCAACTGGCATGGTGTGCATGTACAAAGTACAGTGAAGCCTGTGTAAGCCGACCGCTCGCGGAACCTTGCGAGTGTGGTCTCCGTGTACAGGTGGTCTCCTGATCCAGGGCCACTTGACTGGAGATAACACCCTTTGACCGGCCCTGGTTGTAGTGGTCCTCTGAGGCAGGTGGTCACCTTATCAGAGTGGTGATTTTGACAGGTTTTCAAAGAAAAGGAACCCAATATGTTCTTGAATTTTGCAATGCAACTTGTATACCGTACTTCCGCACATATAAGCGCATGTGCTTATGTCCGGACATAAGCGCACCCCCCAATTATAAGCGCATGGGCTTATATGTGAACAATATTGGTGAAACACCGGGAGCTGAAAATACTGCTAAGCATTGTGATAACACCGTTGTTTAGGACACAGACAAACCTTTATTGCACTTATAAGCACATGGGCTTCTAGCCGAACATGTTCACAAAGCAAAAAATCATTTTTGTAGCAAATTTTCACTTATAAGCCCATGCGCTTATACGTGGGGAAGTACGGTAATAATGAATAACGTAAATTGTATTATGATGTGGTGGTTGCGGTGTCTTGAAATATAAGAACAATAGCTTTCACTGGTCTGAGGGAGAGACACAGTCACATACGGGAAAAGTCTGAAGAAATTGACTGTCACCATCAGGACTCGAACCAGGGACCCTTGCTTTTAGCAATAGCTTTGTAGTGGAATTGTGTTGTCTGCGTCTTGTTGTGTCCAGGGAGGTTGAGTCCAGTCAAACATGTGTGGTTGGCATGCGAGGTCAGGAGGCATGGGTGACATCAGAATCGGGCAATCAGCATCGCTTCGCATTTGACCATTCCTTCTGGTCGTTCGACGACAAGGAGAACACGTTCTCTGACCAACGAGTTGTTTACGAGAAGCTGGCTCGCCCACTTCTCGAGTGTTCTTTTGATGGCTACAATACTTGTTTGTTTGCATATGGGCAGGTAAGCGGATGTCTCTTCTTTGATCTGTGTTCCCTTGTATACAAATGCAGTGTGACGTATTCATCCCTTTTCTATGAATGATTTGCATTGGTAGGATTTCTCAGTCTGGAAATGAATATATTTGTGTAGGATGAGTAGATGAAAAAATTTCATGGGTTCGCGTAAGGGTCGGGTCAAGAACCGCCTTTCTGCTTCCGTGGGACGCCGCCATCCCATGATCAGGCATCAAATGCGGCTCCTACTAAACAGTGGGGAAGGATAGATCAGATCCACCGACCAGAGGCCAAAGGCTGAAACGCCATTTGCCACATCGATGGGTGGATGAGGTACTGAGTAAACCTGGTATTGTCTCCATGTTTTAAATGATTTTACATTCTCTCTTTCTCTTTTCCGTGTTGTGCAGACTGGCTCCGGCAAGTCTTACTGGTAAGGCTTCTTTTTGTTCTTAGATGCTGGATGGCCTTTGCCATTATTTAGGGTGGGGTGGACGGATGTATTCCTTGCTTTCATAGGTCACAAGTTTACGGTGGAAAAGATGCAGAGCAGATTTCTGGTCATTAAAAAATAAGTAATATGAATTTGGCTCGAGCTCCCGAAATTTCCCTCAGCCTCAACATCTTCTCCGTGCAACTTGTCTATATTGTAATACCAGTGAGCGTAGATCAATGTCGTCAAGAAGACGTCTTATTTGCCATCTTCTTTCTTTCCTTTATGTATTTTATTTTTTGACCATATCAGCATGATGGGTGAGAAGGAGGATCGTGGCGTTATTCCCCGGTTTGGCGAGGAGCTCTTCGAGAGAATCATCCAGGATCAGTCCGCCGAAGTATGTATTGCCTGCTCCTCCATTGGCGAATAGATTGTGAATGTGATGGGTGTGCTGCGTGATATTCTAGTAGACAAAATCAGATTTGTGCCAAAATTTAAAACACGTCACAATCTTGCTGATTCACATGCCACCACATAGGGTGCGGGTATGCATACATACCAATGTAAGGAAACGTATTAAAGGGGTCGTCGCGGAAGTTTTTCGTTGTCCTCGATGCAAACATCCCCCCCCCCCCCCCGAAATGAACGCAATTTGCTATGCTGGATGACACAAATCGCAAGCAAGTACGGTGTCGGTCAACTGGTGATTTTGCTCAGCCCCCCCCCCCCCCCCCCCCCCAATGAACAAGGTTTACTTCATGGACGACGAACTTGGATCGAACGTGCCTCGTCAAGAGAGTGAAGAGATGATGTGTGTGCCAGTTGTCAGAAACTATTTTGAGAAAACAAAAGACAAGTCTTCCATATGCGTGGTTCTATGGTGTAATGGTTAGCACTCTGGACTTTGAATCCAGCGATCCGAGTTCAAATCTCGGTAGAACCTTTTTTTTGCCCCGCTTCGATTTCTTCAGGATCTTTACCGGGGTCTAATCCCCCCCCCCCCCACCCGTTCTGAATTGTTTGGACATCTGAACTCAACGATACAACAGCAACAAATATCAGATCAAATTGTAGGGTATTATTAGATACCACAGTTAATTTGGAACTTGTGGCCTGGCACGAGGAAAACATGGATGAAGTGAATGGGATTTTCGGTCTTTGACCACTTGCTGGTGAGCTGATCCACTCACCTCCCACCGCTTTAGGAGCTGCATCTGCGCCTTCATCCTTGAAGGGTGGTGGCGTTCCTACGGATGCGGAAAACTCGGCCTCTAGGCGTGACGCGACCCGTGAATTTTTTTAAAATAGGTACCGGTACATAAGACGTGACCAGTGGTTCAAATGTTGAGAAGCACGACTGACGATCTAGCAAATTTCCTAGTTTGTCCTTCACTCGGAATTGACGATTTGTAGAAGTGTTGTATTAGCTCAATGATGGATTGCGGTACATGTCCATGAAAAGTAGTCGAGTGACATAATACATACATTATATGTGTTGTAACTCGCTTTTCTCTACCTGCGCCCAGTCCCGTGCCATCTCCACACTTGTACAAATGGGACGACGATAACTACATTTAGAAGACTGTTTATTGACACGACGACGAAACACAACTAGACATGACGAACTGAAGACGAACACATCATGAACTCAAGACAAAGACAGCTTTTCATACCACAGCAACACGCGCATGCACCAACATGACGTACACACGACGTACACAAAAATAACGTACTACAACATAACTCCCTCCCAAGAGTAGAATCGTCCTCGATTCAAATAATAAAACAGAGTAAAAAAGAGGAAAAGATCACACAAATCACTCAATCATACCACACCAGTCACACCCAGAAATAAAATACCTCTTCCTGCACTGCAGATTACAAAAACTCTGTCCGCCCACCCAGAACACCAGCCACGATCGCTGTCACACGTGTAGGAACTGATAACCTCAAAAACTCTACTTCACACAACACACCACCTCACGATCACGCAAAAATTCTAAAATGTGAGAGCACAAATCATAGGAATAACAAAAAGAACAAAATCCACTGGCTCTGTGGGGGCCTCTAGTTATCCTCATAGAAGAGCAAATCAAAAAGCGAACAGAACACACGCGCTGTGCGGGCGCCTCTTTACGGTAAATTACCCTCGAGGAGAGCAAATAATAAAGAACAAAATGTTGGGAGAACAGAAAATACACAACTCACATTCTCATCACGTTCACAACAACACACGTACCCTCTAACCAACGAAACTCCTCACGCCGTCTGCCATGTCGTCCGCCATCTCAAAGCGCTGCTCAGCGTCCACATCCTCACACTGCAGCCTTCACCTTCCATCCTTCTTTTTTTCTGTTTCAGTTTTTCTTCTGGGCACAGTTTTACGTCGTGTCCGGGACCACCAGTGACGATGACTGCTAAGAGACGGGAGAGACGAATGATGAAGGACGAGGACGACGGACGAACTTCTTGAAGACGGACAAAACTGTGACGATAGGACGACTGGAGATGACATCGGAAACTGGGAGCGAAGGCCACGCAGGACGAATCCAGAAGTTGAAGTGTACAACAATTTCCATTACCGCTGCCACCAATGTTGTAACTGCCTTTCTCTGCCTGCTCCCAATCCCGTGCCATCTCCACACTTGTACAAATGGGACGACGATAACTACATGTACATTTAGAAGACTGTTTATTGACACGACGACGAAACACAACTAGACATGACGAACTGAAGACGAACACATCATGAACTCAAGACAAAGACAGCTTTTCATACCACAGCAACACGCGCATGCACCAACATGACGTACACACGACGTACACAAAAATAACGTACTACAACATATTCATGGTTGATACTGACATTCAACGACCTCACCTGATTCTTAGCTGCATCACGGCTTGGAATTGTTATGCCCAAACCGACAGCCCTCCAACTTCCGACAACAACTGTGTCTGATTGTGGAAAGGACTCGTATTATTGCATCCATCATCGTATGGCCAGCGACTCGTTTTTGTTCTGAAAGTTCTCAGCGGCACCGTAGTCATGATTGGGGTGGGCTTTTTGTGTCTTCACCGTGAGTGTTTGTTACACACAGGCTCTCTAGCGTAGATGTTTCCCTGTCAATCGAGCACTCATGGCATAGGTTTACTGTCCGAACCAGTTCATCAATAGATCAGCCATCCCTGGTTACGGGGTAGTGGTAGTTTGCACTTTTCCTAGAGCTGTGCTCCACTCGCGTTATCCTTGGCTAGTATTTCATTAGAGAACTCCTCCGATTTTTGTTAATCACCCTGCGTGCTTGTGTGTTTCTCTGTACCTATTCTTCATTGCTGCAGACAACGTACAAGGTGGAGATCAGCTTTTATGAGATCTACAACGAGCGAATCCACGATCTCCTTGCCTCTGCCAAGGGCAGAGCGAAGCCAGTAAGTCCGAGAGTGTTTGATTGGTTGGTTACGGAAAAGAATCGTTTGGAACACCTTGCGGCGTTTTCAGCTTGAGAACAACACACAGACAGTGGAGTCAAACACATCGTGCAAAGTGACCTTGTGATCGTCCGGTTGGGGGAACAAACGGGTCAGGGGAGTCCGGATAGGGAAGTCGTACGCTCTAGTGAAATCTCTCCGATATTTCTTAAAAAAAATTGTCTTGTGCATGAATTACGAATGCGGTTAGCATTTTAAACATTAAACTTTCAGGAAACTTTCAGGAAACTTTGTTTAGCGTGCCTGAACTACTGTGCATCCTTGATCTTGCTGTTCAAGCAGAGTGCGTTTTGTGTGCGAGTGGATTGGCATTGACTGCGCTGTACCCTCTCTCTGATCTGTTCCACCTTCAGCTACGAGTGAGAGAGCACGCTTCGCTGGGCCCGTTTGTTGAAGATTTGTCCAGGTAAGGCGAACGTTATGCACTAGATTTTGGATTCCAAGAATGCCCAGCCAGGAAACAAACGCTAGAGGAGCTGAAGCTAAGAACTCCAAAAGAATGCATCATTGGAAAATTGGAAATGTAATAATGAGCCAATCTGGTGTAACCCAATTTGGGTATTGGGATTCCGATCCTAGTGTAGAGAGGTAACCTATCTTGGAGAGGCGTTCACTGTTGACATTATGTTGTCCTTGGTTCTATGGTGTAATGGTTAGCACTCTGGACTCTGAATCCAGCGATCCGAGTTCAAATCTCGGTAGAACCTGATTTTTTTCTCGGCATTTTTGTTTCCCTTCATGGTCCTAAGTACCCCGCCCCAAACCTGGTACCATTTGCTTTTGTCACCATAAAGTATGAGCGTACAGCACTCATGCCTGCCATGAGTTGCAGCCAGGGAAAGAACCTGGTGATACCACGCGTAAAGTATTGCAAGAGCACCCACCCCGCCTTGACTTTGCAGCCGGGAAAAGGAAAATCGTATGGCAGAGTGCAACTGATGTGTAGGAGGACGTTCAGCCCCAGCTAGATGCCTTCGAATTAAGCCGTGTGTACGCAGGATTTTCTGGCCATACAGAGAAAATAACCTTCATGCTAACCAGTTTGAATCTAGCCATTTCTGGCACAGCCCGCTTGCCTGGACTGCAATGTGTTCACAGCATTCCCTACAATACCCACCTGGCCGGCGAACTCGTCTGCAATCCCAGCTTGTTGGGCTGACCGCAGCAGCGCTGTGTCTTTGCCTTGGGGTATCCATGGTAACCATGGTATTCCTGGCAACGTTGATCACTGGGTTGACAAGCAGCAGTGGGTGCGTTTGATCACTGCTATGAATCGATTCATGAATGGAATTTCGTCGTTCGATATCATGTCGTGAGCCCTGGAATTGGTTCGGAGTCCGTTCACCCTATTCACATGGGGCGATGTGAATAGCCAGGGGCGATTCATGAATCCATAACTCAATATCAATTCGCGGACATAATCGAATGCACTCAGTGATTGTGTCTATTCTCTTGTGTGTTTATACAGTTATGTGGCATCATCAAATGAAGACCTGCAGGTTCGTTTAAACATCACTTGGTTCTGTTTCCGGAGTGCTGCTAGTGTTTGTGTACTACTAGTAGTTGTAAACTTGTCTCATACATTTTTAGCACTTATGCAGCAGTGCAATTGATCAAATGTTGTATCTGGCGTGTTTCTTAATCCCAAAACTGGCAGGCAGTAATTTGAACTGGCCTGTACTTTCACTGCATGGAGCATGAACCATCTGCACTGGGAACGCTTGTTTTGTTGCTTCATGTACAGAATTATTGTTCTGCCTGTACAGTATCTAACTGGTTGTTGTTGTTGTTGTTGTTGTTGTTGTTGTTCTCGTCGTTGTTGTTCTCGTCGTTGTTGTTCTCGTCGTTGTTGTTCTCGTCGTTGTTGTTCTCGTCGTTGTTGTTCTCGTCGTTGTTGTTCTCGTCGTTGTTGTTCTCGTCGTTGTTGTTCTCGTCGTTGTTGTTCTCGTCGTTGTTGTTCTCGTCGTTGTTGTTCTCGTCGTTGTTGTTCTCGTCGTTGTTGTTCTCGTCGTTGTTGTTCTCGTCGTTGTTGTTGTTGTTGTTGTTCTCGTCGTTGTTGTTGTTGTTCTCGTCGTTGTTGTTGTTGTGCAGGGCTGGGTCAGTCTGGGTAACAAGCATCGTGCCACAGCAGCCACTGGCATGAACGACAAGTCCAGCCGCTCACACTCCGTCTTCATGATAGTGCTGACTCAGACCAAGGTATTAACCGGGATTCTTGCTGGCTAGATCCCTGATAGCAGGAGTCCATAACCCCAAGAGTGTGCGACTCTGTACATGGGGATCCGCGTGGCGGAATTCCAACATTACGTCAAAAATGACGTGTACGTTCATTGCGCTTGTACTACTCCCTGGTTCCAAGCACCGCGGAATGCGGAGTTTTGTCCTCTGTGCCTCAGTGGCATGACGTAATGTTGGAATTCCGCCGCGCAGTCGGCCTACAGCAGCCAGACCCCAGTTGCACACTCTTGGGGTTATGGACTCTTGCTGATAGTGATATGTGCACATGTCCTGCATTCGTGTAGGGTTCAGGTCTTGCTAAGCACATCCATTTAGTTTGTTGTACAATCAAATCTTTGTTCACGTCCATTACATGTGCAAGTCCAGCCCGCGTCAGCCTGCCTGCATCCGGGACCTCTTCTATTTGTAGCTCCAGGCCGGCCTGGTTGACTGGTGGGCCTGCCCGCCTGCATCTGGGATCTCGGGGCCCTTGTGCGCTTACATGCTAAACATGTTGACCTGCCCAGCCTAGCTGGATTCCACCCAAGACATCCGAGATCCTGCCCAGCCGGTCCAGCCTGTTTGGCATGTAGACACACAGCGAGTATTCAGTTTGCTTGCATACATGTACATACCCGAGATCTTGGATGCAGTCGGCTAGTCCCACCTGTCAACTGTTTCGGGGTAAACAAGTTAGTTGTTTACGACAGGATTATATCCTCACTTGGCCATTGTAGGCAATCATAAGAACAACGACATCTAAAGGATCCTGCATGAAAGTAGGCAGCTGCGAGATGCGTATCTCGCGCATGCTCTTGCATGGCTATGTAATGCATTACATCATAATACAACATCCCCTTCGTCATAAAGGAGTTTAACAACCTACATAACATACCGTACGTATATGACGGCGTGTTCAAAATATAGAACATAACATCCAACACTAGCTCTATGTACAAGATAACAATCATGAATGGCACACGACGGCGTACTAACAATACAGAGACATAGTATCCAACAATAGCTCTATGTACAATATAACAATGGCACCTCAGCTACTGTGACATAAGCGAACAGGTCCATGAGGCCTCTCTGGCCTTACACATCCAGGATTGACCTGGGTGCGACTGCGCGGCCAGACCGTGTTCGATACAGCTGGGTGGCAGGTTCAGCAGGCTGGCTGACGTCACACGGTGACGGCGGCTGAGACTGGCTAGCGTCGCTCCACGGCGACGGCACGTCACTCGGCGGCTGAGGCTCGCCAATGTCGCTGCGCGTCGACGGCTGAGGGCCTGCGAGACTGGCATCCGGCGGGAAGTGGACCCGCCTCTCTCTGAGGTGGGTACGGTTGCGCCGCACTTCTGTCCCATGGTCAGGCTGCACCATGTATGACCGTGGCCCGTTGACAGACTGGGTTACGATACCAGGTTCCCACAGGTGCGTGGTCGGGCTGCGGATGCCAACGTGCTGACCAGGAACTAGGGGGCGGAGAGACTGCGCTCGCTGGTCATGGTGTACTTTCTGCTGGTCCTGCCGTTCCTCGAGCTTCTGTCGGATGGCCTCGTCCCGAGTGTCGCGCTGGTGTTTGCGAGGCAGGTTGTCCTGTACCTGACGACCGAACAGCATCTCGGCCGGCGACGGTAAGCCCTGGCACACTGGGGTGGCGCGAATGCACAGCAGTGCTAAGTGCGGGTCGGTCCCGCTCTCCCTTGCCTTCTCGAGAGCTCTCTTAGCGATCTTGACTTGCGATTCGATAAACCCGTTACTCTGCGGGTGATGTGGCGACGACGTACTGTGGCGGAATCCATATTCGGCAGCAAACTCCGCGAACAGATGGCTGCTGTATTGCGGCCCATTGTCCGACTTCAGCACGGCTGGGATGCCGTGCTCACCGAAAATCTCCTTGAGGTGCTGGATGATGGCCCTGCTGGTCGCTTGTCCGGCAGGCAGCTTCCGGGTGATGAAGTACTTGGAGTAGTAGTCGGCGGCAATGAGGTGTTCTGACCCGCCGAGGTAGAACAGGTCCGTGCCTAAGGTGTGCCATGCCCTTGGCGGAATATCGGGCTGCACCAGTGGTTCCTTGGCTTGACTGCTCTGGTGGCGCTGGCACGTCGTGCAAGATGAGACAGTTGCTTCGATATCCTTGTTGATGTCCTTCCAGAAGACGGACGTTCTGGCTCGCAGCTTGGTCTTCTCTATGCCTTGGTGGCTGGCGTGCAGCTTGCTGAGGATTTCCCTCCTCATTGGCGGGGGAATCAGGACGCGACTGCTCTTCAGGATGAGACCGTCCTCGGTGCTCATCTCGCCGCGGAAATTCCAGTACGGGAGCAGAATTGCCGGCACCGCGCTCCTCTCTGATGGCCAGCCACTGAAGATCATCTCCTTCAGTGCTGACATCTCGGCGTCTTTAGCCGACTCCTCGCGGATCCTCGTCATCGCTGCATCGCTGAATTGCGGGAACACGGCGTGTACACTGACGTCGAGGTCCTCAATTGGCTCTGTTTCCTCTGGCGACAGTCGGGATAGCGCATCTGCGATCGGAATGTCCTTTCCGGGGCGGTACTTGATGGTCATGTCGTACGGCTGCAGCTTCAGCAGCATGCGCTGTAGACGCGGCGGGGCTGCGCGGAGGTGCTTGAGCTTGATTGACTCCAGCGGCTTGTGGTCGGATTCTACTGTGAATGACTGACCGAATAGGTAGGTGTGGAATCTTTCACATCCGTATACGACGGCTAAGAGCTCACGCTCAATATTGGCGTAGCGAGACTCCGTCTCGGTAAGCTTCTTGCTGGCGAATGCAACAGGCTTGTCGTCCTGCAGCAGAGTGGCGCCGAGACCTTTCATGGAAGCGTCGACTTGTAGTGTCGTTGCCTTGCCTGGGTCAAAGTAACTGAGCGTTACTTCTGTCGAAATGGCGGCCTTGACCTTGTCGAAGGTGCGCTGGTGGCTGTCTGTCCAGGCGAACGGTGTATCTGGCTTGGTCAGCTCACGCAGGTGCGCGGTCAGTGTACTGGCATTCGGTATGAACGGGCTCATGTACGTGACTAGCCCGAGGAACGTCTGGAGCTCGTCCTCGTTCTCGGGGTGCTCCATCTGCTTCAGCGCTGAGACCTTCTTCGGGTCGGGCTGTATTCCGTCAGCGCTGCAGATGATGCCGAAGAACTTGATCTTGTCCTCTTTGATGCGGCATTTGTCTGGGTTCAACTTGAGACCAGATTGTTCGCAGCGAACCATCATCTGGTGCATGTTGAGATCATGGTCCTCGTCTGACGTCCCGTATGTGACGATGTCGTCTGCGATTCCGGTGACGCCTGAGCACCCTTCGAACGTCTGGTCGATCCTTGCTTGGAAGACATCTTGCGACATCTTGAGGCCGAATGGCATGCGAAGGAATCTGTAGCGCCCGAATGGTGTGTTGAAGGTGGTGAGGTAACTGGATTCGTCGTCGAGCTCCACATTCCAGTACCCACATTTGACGTCGACGATCGAGAACACTTTGGCACCTCTCAACTTCGGGGTGATCTCCTCAATGGTGGAGACCACGTGGTGCTCTCGCAGGATGGCGTGATTGAGGTCCTTGGGGTCTAGGCACAGGCGTAGCTTGCCATTGTCTTTGAGGCGGAACACGAGGCTGTTCACCCACGCTGTTGGTTCGCCTTCCTGGATCTTGGTGATGATGCCGTTCTGGATCATGTCCTCCAGCTCCGTCTTGATCTCGTCTCTCAGTGCGATGGCGTGGAGGTGGCGTGGAGGGTGTACAACCGGGACGACGTTGGGGTCCACCGTGATGTGGTACTTGCCTGGGAATTTCCCAATGCCATCGAAGCACTTCGGGTATTGCTTCATCAGGTCGTCCTTGTCTCGGATGCTCGCTGGCTTCTCCTGGACAGCGCAGTTCAGCGTGACTAACTGCAGGGCTGTCGCTGTCGGGAGACCGATGATAGCAGTGCCAGGGCAGTCCGTGATGTAGAAGTCAGCGAGTTGACTCTTGCCATCGTAAGAGCACGGAATAGGACGGGTTCCGCATTGCTTTATCTTGGATCCGCCGTACGCTGTGAGGGTGGTACTTGACGGCTTCACGGACTTCGGCTTTGGGTATCCATTTGGTCCGACGTGCTGGGGGAACATTTGGCAGAACACTCTCAGCGGCAATATATTGCCCTGAGCGCCCGTATCCACCTTGGCTCTCAAGGTGGCCGGTCTGTTGGTGTTGTCCAGGCTGACATTGAGGGTCGCGAACACCTCTCGCTCTAGTGGCGGTTGGTGACGCTCGACGCTGTCGATGATGACGGCGTCGAAATGCAGTGCGTCGAAGCGTCTCCGTGGGCTGGGGCTCCTCTGGCGCCAGCGTCCGCGTTGCTGGCCCCTTCCATGTGCCTCGTGTCTCCCCTGCGAACGGCATACGTTTGCCCAGTGATTCGCCTTCCCGCATTTGTTGCAGGTGGAGCCGTGCGCTGGTCACTTGCTTGGGTGGTGGGTTCGTCCACATTTGCCGCAGTCTGCGTGTCCCACAGATTTGGAAATGGCGTGAACCGTTTCAGGTAGACGGCTGCTGCTGGTGGCGGTGGACAGCTGCTCCATGTGGCGCTGTGTTGCTTCATAAGTACGGGCCTTGTCAAGCGCTTCGTCCAGAGTCAAATCACTACCACCCTCCAGCAGGCGTTCTTGCACTTTCGAGTGCTTCGTCCCCACGATTAGCTGTTCTATCAGGCGATCGTTTGTCTCCTGAGCGTCCCTGAACTTGCACTTGGACGTCTTCTTCTTACACCTCGCAAAGAAATCATCTACAGACTCCTCGGGTTGCTGGCGGTATTTCTGAAGCTCAAACCGAGCCAGTCGTGCATTTACCCGTGGCTGCAAATGCTTATTAAATTTCTTGAAGACGGCAGCTACTTTGGATTTGTCGCTTGCATTATCCCACTCGAAACTATTGAAAGCATCAACACCAGTTCTCCCGATCCATAGCATGACATAGGCGACCTTTTCCTTGTCGGACTTGTCGGAAAAGGGCCCTTGGAAAACTAGAAGGCAGTATTGTTGGAACCGCTCGAATTCGTCAGGTAAATCTGCGGCTTGCCAATCCATCGACGGCGGGGTAAATCCGGCTGCTTCTGCCATTTTACCTCTTGCGCCGGTGTCGCTACTGCGGCAATTCTAGGGCGTTTATTTAGTTTACTTCTGACACCATGTTTCGGGGTAAACAAGTTAGTTGTTTACGACAGGATTATATCCTCACTTGGCCATTGTAGGCAATCATAAGAACAACGACATCTAAAGGATCCTGCATGAAAGTAGGCAGCTGCGAGATGCGTATCTCGCGCATGCTCTTGCATGGCTATGTAATGCATTACATCATAATACAACATCAACCAGCCTCACTGCTCTGACCGCCCAAACACTGTATACATGACATTGTTGCTGGCCATTACAGAGAGCAATGGTGCGAAGGCGTCATTGGATTTTCCAACAGTGCTACAGCTGCTGACATTATAGGTATTTCATGACGAATGTACTTGGTGACTTGGTCGGAAACCAGAATGATTAATTGATTATGTTGGCTGAGCTATGTCTGATTGATAATGTTTTTGGTATTTCATCTGTTGTGCTGTAGACGCAGGACGAGCAAGAGCTATGCCGGACAAGCCGAATCAACCTGGTCGACCTGGCGGGCAGTGAGCGGACTGGCAAATCGGGTACCACAGGGGACAGACTGAAGGTAAGGTAGCTGGTAGAGAAGAGCCTCTCTACAGACTACTGCATACATTACAGCTCTTGTCCTACTTACTGGTGTCCTAGACAATGAGGTGGTAATCTGATAAAGGAAGCGTATTAGTGTGTGCAATGTGTGCATCGTGTTGGATAAAAAAATGTCCGCAAAGCGGAGAGAATGTGTACGTGTGCGCGCGCGCGCGTGTGTGTGTGTGTGTGTGTGTGTGCTGCAATAGTGTGTTCAGCCTGGTTTGCGAGTCAGAAGTCCAGTCATGGTTTCTTTCTTCCCTCTTTTGTAACTCTTCACTCGTTACATGTATACGGGTGATGGTGAGTTTGACCCACAGGATCTCTGTCTCTCGCCTGGCAATCAAGTCCTGCTGCTTAGTGCACTTCTTCTGCCTGGACACTGTGCAGCTGTTGCTGCTACTCGGGGCTGGATGGCATGTTGAAGCTAGTGCGCTGAAGAGTTTTTGTGTGGCCTGTTCTCGTTTAGAGAGCACACTAGTGGAAGGCACTCTTTGTCTAGCCTGCAATTCTAACGTACCTGTTGTCGTCTTCATCCACTGTCACAATGTGACCTGTTGCTTGTAGGAAGGTGCTAGCATCAATAAATCTCTGCACACGCTGGGTATGGTGATCTCTGCGCTGTGCGAGCGCTCGACAAACATCAAGAAACGGGTGTTCATCCCGTACCGTGACTCTTCTCTCACATGGTAAGGATGACGATGATGAGTATGCGTTGCTGTGGTAACTTACTAGTGCTCACGGGACTAACTTGCTATGCTGCATAGTGTCATGAGATTGCAGTGAATGGCTGTGGTGGAGGGAGGGAAGGTAATATTCTAAAATATAATAAAAGTGTTGGTGTAATTGAGTGTAAGCATTTGTGAGCACGTTGTGTGTGTGTGTGTGTGTGTGTGTGTGTGTGTGTGTGTGCGTGCGTGCGTGTGTGTGTGTGTGCATGCTCCTTTTCTGTACTACATGCTAGGCTGCTGAAGGAAAGTCTGGGTGGCAATTCGAAGACGGCCATGATAGCCACGGTCAGTCCAGCAATGTCTAACTACGAGGAGTCTCTAAGTACACTCCGTTATGCCGACCAAGCCAGGTCCATTGTCAACGTGGCTCGCGTTAACGAGGATGCCACCAGCAAGCTGATCCGGGAGCTGCGTGAGGAGATCGAACGTCTTCGTCTGCAGTTCAAGAGTGCCACGCTCGACGCCAGCAGCCTGGAGGAGGTGCAGCGGCTGCGTGAGCAGTTGAAAATGTCCGAGAAGATCATGTCAGATCACACCAGGTTAGCGGGGATGTTGCATTGGGACCTGATTTGAGTGTCCTGACTCCTGATGTTTACACGCTTGTCTTTTGTTTGAACAAAGGCACATATTCTGTCTGTTTATATTTTGAACCCAACCTACAAGATCATTCTCCTCTGGCCAAAAAGCGTGTTGTGTTTAGAATGGCGTTGGTTGTGTTGGCCTGGTCTATCCTAGTTGTTCAATGTTGTTAGGTAACTTGCACTACATCGTAGTATGATCACACTGGCATAGGCTCAGTATCAGCTGCACACAGCATACAGACTGCTGCCCACTGCTGGAGTAATCTCATGAAACCCTTAGCCAGTAACTTTCTCGCTCTATGCCTGTACCTACCGTATTTTCCAGAGTATATGTGCCACACTTTTTTTTAAACGCTCAGAATTCACACCCAAAAAAAACTCAGTGCGGCTTACACTACAATGGTCAAATGAACCGTGAGATACAGGGTAGATGTCTGTATTTCGGAACGCAAAGTCTGGCTGCGGCTTATGCCTGGGAAAATCCGGTAGGTGTAATGTTCTTTCCTCGTCGTTTGGTTTGTTTGTCCGGGTATGCGCAACATGATCGTCTATATGATTGCTTGCCGTTTTTAGTACATTGGTGCGGTGTGTGAATTTGCAATTCACCCTTGATTGCCTGTATGCATGCTTTGTGCAGGTCGTTTCAGGAACAGCTAGTGGAGGCGGAAGCGCGCAAGGAAGAAGAAGCTGCCAAACTGAAGGTACTGTTGCGACGATTGTGCTGATTGGTATTAATGCAGACCTCAGGAGTTCAGCCTCTGCACAGCTAAATTTTAGCTATGCAGTGGCTGAACTCGTGAGGTCTGCATTCTCCACTAGGGTGTACAGACATAGTGATGGCCAACGTGTGCGAAGGCTAGCTTGTGTGTTTGTGAACATTCTAGTCCTGTTGACGCGATCTCGCAAATTTTATTTATTAGCTGCTGAACTGATACACGGCTGTTACGAGGAGGTCACTGGGCAAGATGCGGCGACCTGTAGCAACGCCCCTGGAAACGGAGGTCACACGGAAAGCGTGGGTACGCTCATCGCATTTTTCAAATTTTCATAATCATTTCCCCAGAAAGAAAAGCCGTTCTGTCACTTGAAATACTTTTATGGATTTCGTCTCCAGTCTCTTGCTCGTCAAAAATGTTGGAGGCAGCTGTACTCCGTGAAGTGCAACGGATAACGCTAAGTAGCAGATCAAGGAGATGTGCTTTGCTCATGCCAGGACTCTTTCGCAAAATGACGACCTGCGCCTCGTATCGGTGGAGAACTTTTTTTTCAAGCGTACTCAATCTCTGGACAGCTAGCTGTTTCGACGTTGTTAAGTCTCGTCAGCAGAGCTCAGAGTGTGTGGCCGAACAGATCAACAAGAATTAGAGTGTCTGACCAAGAAGACCGCATGTTGAGATGACGCACTAAATACCCGCTCCTTGAGAGTGGAGCACGGCACGGCAAATTGACACTGTACCCTAATTTTCTCGACATGCACTGCATGCAAGCGTAACGACAGTCATTCGGAGTCTGATTCTGGGCTGGCGGTGCTGTGGACGGAGAGCCAAGTTCTTTGGCAGAGTGCTGAGGCGGTGTTGCTCAGCAGAGCTTTTGAGGCTCGCAAGGGTTGATGGGATTGCTGAGAATTTGTTCTCAAAGAGGTTCTTTATTTATTTGTGGATGCTCTCCATACCTTGCTCATTCAACAATCCCAATCCCATGCTGAAGTGCTGTATGCAAGGCAGGACATGGCATTCGAGAAGGTGAAGTTTGGGAGTGACATTACTCGGCCTAGACATTACCTAACTTCCGTGCCACAACCTCAGCTCTGCAGGTGGCCATGAAGGTGTGGATGGCATCACCCAGAACCTGCCTTGTCTCTGTTGTAAAAAATCAGCTTTCCGCTGAACAGCTTGCAACATGCTGCATACTCTGCGAAGAGCCTCGAGTATCGATCTTTCAAGGAGTTGCCTCAGCAAGCAGCTGAACGTCGGCGATGTCGGCAGGCGTGTGGCTCTGCACGAATGTAAAAGGAACAGAAGTGAGGGCATCCGGTTTTAACGCACGGCGTATGTGGTTGCCGACGAATGCTCCGGAGTGATACGCTTGTCGCTTTGTTTGGTACTTTTGCAGTACTGATTCCAAGGCAGTTATGCATGGGCCAGCTGCTTTTTGATCTTTTGCTGTTAATTTCCCATGCTCTTTTCAAGCCACAACATATCTCCCATTGATCTAAATCGAGTTCCTTTTGCTTCTCCTTCCGTAGGAAGTGCAGATTTGAAGCCACAGTCTGCAAGCCAGCAGCCACTACTTCCTGCTGCTGCATGTGCAGCATCACAAACTGCAGCTGACTAAGAATGCTTGGTGCTTCTGACTTGGTCCTCACACAACACAATACTTTTTAGCACAGACTCGTGGCTTTCGCATGAGCTCTCACAAGGTGCTGAGTTCCACGCCTAGTACTACACAACTTTTCACCGGCTGACCTGCATACCGGCTGTAACCAGGCGGGGAGATGTCCTATCTAGGACATCGCACTCTGAATGAGTCTGATTGGTTACCTGTCCCAGAGTTGTCATGGGAGCGTCGGTCGCGCACACGCGATGAAAAGAAGTGCTGCGTGAGCATTTCTGAATGTATGTGGAGGATGCACGATCGTAATGGCGATGGATTTCTTTCCGAATTGGTCAAGTTTGAGGGAATAGGCGGAGAATATCAGACATCAGCGGGGATTGAGGTAGTGTATATTCGATTCGCCATCGAATACCCGACCGAATGGCCGTTTTCGTTTGGGGATTTCATGTGGGGTTTGTCGTAGCCACGCGGCGCTTCTTTGGAAACGATTGGTTCTAATTTTGAATGTTTTGCCTTTGGAATGTTTCTTCACGCCCCGTGCGTTCATTTCGCCCCAAACCTGGCCATGCAGAGGAGGAAGACGAGGCAGCAGACGCTAGGCCCGTAAATTACTGCCTGGAAGATATTATTTGGCCAAAGCTTGCTGTTGGCGTTTTTGATTTCTTGGATACGACAGCTCTTGGCTAAAACTGGACCTTGGATGGTCTTTCTTGGATATCAACCCAGGACGTGGTGGTCATGGACGTATCGCCATCGCTTTCAGCCAGATCCTTCTGCTGCCTGAAACCAATGGCGAAAGTAAAACCTTTATCGCAGCAGCAGCTACTGCTCTGCTGAAAGTGCGAACGCAAATTGCTTCGCCAATCCTCTTGTGTAATTGCAATTTTCAATGCGACCAAAACGATTCGCTTGCCAGTTCCTTTGTCCAGGCGTACTCCACAACGGAGAAAATAAAATTCGTGAAGGCAAGAGGCAAGATACGAATCTCGACTCGCTTGAGGCAAGCCGCCAGGAGAACGACAATTAATTTATATTACTTTTGAGACGAAAGGCCTTCGTTGCGTTTGTTTTGAGAAATTGAGTGCGACATGTTCATCTTCCTCGGACGCGACACAAAGTTTTGAGTCACGTGTCACGATTACTATGGGAACAGCATAGTATGTCTGGGGCATGCTGGGTTCCGTGATGTCCTATCTAGGACATCACCAGGACTGGTAGCGTTTCTTGGTGTTTTTCCATTTCCAATCCACTCAATAAATAACAATTTCCGCTAAACGTTGCTAGAGATTTGGCCCCAGCCGGGCCAACAAGGAATCAGCGGTGCCCCAGCAGCAGCACAAAACAGCCACACAAATACGCTTCTCCTCGCCAGAACTACTCTTGACGTGACGAAAACTCGTTGAGCACCTCAAGGAGGCAACAAACTTCGGTGACTAGAACGATTGAACCGCAACAAGTGCAGCAAAAAATTTCCAACAAGAATGGCTTTTCTCAGCAAATTGCAAAGGAAAGCTCAAATTCACAACTTTTTTTCTTTGGCGAAGCATAGTCAGGATGTTGCGCAACTGTAGCAGCTTGACGCAGTGATCAAAAGTGGTGCTTTGGGGACAGTAGAGATTTCGTTCAAAATTCACCTCCTTGAGAACAATTTTTCGCCGTTAAAAAAAGGGGAAAGTCCCGTAAAGCAGCATCTCCAGTACAAAAACCAAGTGGCTGGTTTTGTACGGTCGTAACAGCCGTGTGATGGAAGATAGTGTTCTCATACTGTTAGGTAGCATGCACGAGGATTTTTTGAAATTGGGCCCAAATAGCGCATATTTTATTGCATCAGAAAAAATCTCAAAAAAAAGAAAAAAAGAAATGGGAAAAGCGGAAAAGCGCGAGCTCCGGTGTGGGACGTCGCTACCACTAATTCGTACAGAAATCTCAAGTTCGAATTATTGGCGAGGCTTTGGCCGCATTGCCCCAGAGATATTCAATTGTTGCTGTTGTGTTGCGTCTGTACCAGAAACATGGTGTGTCGTTCAAGGTTGACAACCGTTTGCCGAATCTTGTCAATCTGAATGAAGATCCTCAGTTGTCGGAGATGTTGCTCTACGTGATCAAACAAGGTGAGGGAAGGAGTGTTAGAGACATTGGAGATAGGGGAGTGAATGGGTGGGTTGGGGATGGGATGGGATGCATTAAAAAAAATACATACGTTCTTTGTACATGTACCGTGATTGCCTGACAGTGCAGTTTGTAGGTTCATTTTGCAATCTGATTTTGACTCCAGGTGATGTACTTTGGGCTTTGCTGGTATATGCTATTGGGAAGATTTATTATTATTCAGATTTCACAAGAATGGGAACAGCTTATCCTAACTATTGTATTCGCTGTGTTGGTTTGCAACAATGCGTGTTCTAGCGCAAATAAGCACCTTCGCCATCGCGAAACATTTCAATAATCTACATAGAATGTGACATCGATTTGTTGCCCATCTGCACCTCTTCCATGCAGTAAAATTAATTGATTTCAATTAATTTCGTAATTAATTTAGTTTTGAGCACACCACTGTGTTCTGTGATGAGTAGAGAGTCTCTCACTGAGTTCTTCTGCTCTTCTGTCTCTGCCATTACTGCATTAGGTCGGACAACCGTCGGCCAAGAGAACAGCGGCGGTGCGCATGACATTCATCTTGCTGGAGCACTTGTGGCCGAGAATCACTGGTGAGTAAGCAGGGTTCTAGCCAAAGGAGCCCCACCACCCCCCACCCCTCTCCTACTCTGATTGAACGTCCTCCTGTGAAAAAGTGCCCCCCTCCCTACTCATTTGTTGGATACGGCGCCGAGAACCGGTACCGGATCGCCAGTGACACTCACTTATAGAGCTGGAACAAGGGGACATGTCCAGGTTGAGGGCTGGCACTACGTGGGCAGCTATGAACGATTGTGTTTAGCAGCTATCGATAGCAGCACCGTACTCATGTGTTGTCTCACCAGACACCACGTCAAAGATAATGTGCGGCAGAGGCGAAACTGCGTCAGGTGCAGGGGAAGTAGTTAGCGGCCAGACAGCCAGTCGGCGTTGGCTTGTCAGAGCCCTTTTTCACCGCGGAGGCAGACACATTCTGTGGACAGTTCGGTTGTATATGGCCAAACTCGTGGCACTTGAAACACTTCGGGAGAGAGCATCGGGTGCCGGGTGCTTTATTGTGATGAATTTAAATCAGGTCGGCAGATAGCGGACGGTGGTAGGCAAGCTACGCCAAGAATCCAGTTCCCATGTCTTCCTTTCTTCGTTTGATAGCTGGCTTCCTGTCGCGAATTGCGTATGCTTCGCGGATCCGGAGCCTCAGTTCATCCCTCTCTGTGACCTGGACAATTCCGTACCCAATCTTTGGAGTGGTGCCCGGGTGTTCTCTAGCATAGTGCACACCGAATGCAGACTTCTTGTCTTTAGACTTTGCAGCATTCGTATGTTCTTGAGCCCGGGTGTGCATTTGCCTCCCAGTCGAGCCGACGTATCTATCGCGACAGAGGTTGCGCGTAGCTTCATAGACCGCAAAACTGCGAGTACATTTCTTCTTGGCCATGGGGCACTCACGCATTCTGCATTTCCCCGGTTCTCCTTTTTTCTTTGTAAGTTCTTGGATGGTTGGCGGTCGAGGCATGTGTGTACATCATATACAGCAGCACACCTGGCAACTAGGTTACGTCCAAATGGGTCGCCGACCAAGACGCAGTAACACTTTGGGCAGGTGGATGACACGATAACTGCGCAGTGTTAATCCTGACTAGCAATACTGTGATCATGTATGCTGTATACTCGTGAATTTAGGGTGGACTTAGACACACGCACACACACACACACACACACACACACACACACACACACACACACACACACACACACACACACACACACACACACACATACACACACACACACACACACACACACACACACGCACAAATACGCACAGCACATTTGTTGAGAAGAATAGCACTCACATGCTAGTTTTCGCCGTCTGAGACCCCTTATGCAGAGTTGCACACTCTTGGGAGCTTATAATACAGTCAGACCTCGCATAACGGCACACATCCGTTTTCCACAAAAATATCCGGATAGGCGAGGGAACCGGATAATCGAACACACATACTGTATGTAAGCATGGCATATGCTGTACATTTGTAACCAACTATTTTCTTCCGAATGGCGAGGGATCCGGATAAACGAGGACCGGATAAGCGAGGTCTGACTGTACACTCTTGATGCTAGTACTGCTGAGCTGTTGTTGAGTTCTAAGTTGTATGTGTAGGGTTCTATGGTGTAATGGTTAGCACTCTGGACTCTGAATCCAGCGATCCGAGTTCAAATCTCGGTAGAACCTGATTTTTTTCTTTTTTTTCTTTAAAAACTACAAAAGCATAAATACACCTTATCCATCAAAGAACCTCTTTTACCAGCAAGTAACTTTTGCATTAGAGACGTTCCGCATAACGTAATTACGTTAGTAAAAAACGTAGTCGATCTACGGGAAGTCTTACGTAAACTGCATGCGCATCTGGGTTCCGCTATACGGAGTTTTCAAATCACGTAGCTGCCCTTGGCAACTCCGAACGCGGCAGTGTACGACCTGATCGACCTGGGGAGAGAGTCTTAAATTTGTACCCCAATCCACTTACGGACCAGCTACGTTATCACAGCCCTATCTACATACTCTACGTGGTCAACTTTCCGTAAGTGGAGTGCAAACTCGCGAATTCACGGGTTTTTCCCGCCCACTAACGTTAAGTTGCTCAACTGCGGAACCTCTCTAATGACGGAGTAGAAACTAACTAGAAACAACGTAACGCAGTTGTGCAAGGAAGCAAATCTGGGTTCTGCAATTCATGATAATCAAGACCAAGAATGTTCCATGCCGCGCCGTTTGTGCAGCATAGATAGTGTTTGTACGGTCGGGTTTATGTACTGTTTGGTTCCTTTAAGAGTACATGCCTCCCCCAGATTGTGAAACTCTGATCCATGCCCACTGAGCCTACAGCATCATTACGTATGGCATTGCTTTCCTGGAGGTAAATACTTACCAGTACGCTTGATGGCTACAGACTGTTGCCAAACTACATGTAGCTCATTCACTGCCGTGTAGTCACACCTCGGTGCAGCAACTATTACTGGTTACACGAACAATATGACCCGGCCCATGAGAAAAGGGTGCTTGTGGCATTTTTTGCAGTTTTCAAGATCTGTGCAGGACAAAATGCAGCTGGTTTTCAATATTCTTTTAAAGGGGAAGTATACCCTAAAATATTGAGGTATCACAAAGTTACGGATGAATTTGTAAGGCTCTGTGCAAGCAAAAATATCGGCCGGACGTTTGCCGTATTGATAAACTAAACAAAGCAGGAACTGAAGCAGACAAGTAGACCAGTCACCATCGTGACTGGGTCAATTCTCACCTACATCAACCAGAATCTACTGCACATTGACTGGGTGTTAAACATGCTGAGGCACAACAATGTAGATTGCTAATATATACATGTCCAGAGCCAGATCGCACAGGGACGTTCTTGCATGAACTAAGAGACAGCGTACCGTTATATTTGGCCAGGAAAATAACATTGTGGCAAGTGACAAAATTTGCTAAGAAAAGCAAAAGACAAAAATGTAGAATGTTCTTCTATGGTCAGATATCACTCAGAAGGCATGTAGTACCCAATATTGGCACCATCGAGAAGTTACGGATACATTCATGCAAGCCAAATACCGGCCGGACATTTACTGTACTACAGAAACAAAAGAAAGCATGAACAGAAGTGGACACACTGAGAGCCACCCTTGTGACTGGGTCAGTTCTCACAAAAATCAATAATATCAACCAGAATCTATTGCACATCAGCTTCACAATGCATGTCCAAAGCCAGATTGCACAGGGACGTCCTTGCACAAACTATACTAAGAAACACCGTGCCATTATATTCGGCACGTCAGAAACATAACAGATGTGCAATGCCGACAAACTTTTAGAAAGTTCTACTACAGGTAGACTCCCTCTAATTCGAATACGGTATAATTCGAACATTCCGCGTAATTCGAACTTTTTCGTTGTACCGATCTTCTGCAAGTCACTTCAAGTCAAAATCGAATGCATAATTCGAAGTACGAAAAGTGCGCCGGTTGGATAATTCGAACCCAGTCTTCGTACAGAAGAGCTGTTTGCAGTACATTAGCTATGTCTTTTGAACGCTTATTTCGAAGTGAGATTGAGTTGCTATCCTTGTAATTCGAAGTTCATTCTTTTCTCCTTCTCTAGCCAAGAGTAGCTCAAAAATCGATCGATGGTCCGCTGCAGGATCGACTATAGCGTTCAAGAAACCCACCTTCTCTCGAAATTTGATTCAAGCCCGTGCGAGGCAAATTGCAAAGGTTTGATTGAAGACGACTTCTTCCTGGTGGCTGATTCTCTTCGCGGATCTCGATGGCCTTGCTTGCCGCGCCAGCTCGTGCGCGGAGATGTTGGCGCACAACAACACTATTGTTGTAAATATTGTCTATGCCTATGCTCCACTTCGGTTCTTCAGAACGACGTGCTGGTGTCCGACGGCCTTTCATGACGCGGATTAGGCAGAGCAGTTCTTTTCCGTTGAAATATGTTTCAGGAAAGCTGCAGTGACTGACAACTTCTTCACTAGAAGATGAAGATAATGTCAAATGATTTTTTGTCGATCCAGTGTTTTGATGATCCGTTGTACATAACCGGTACGACCACCTATGTTTCGTTGATGCAAATAAAAATAGGCAAAAAATATTCAGCATGCGATTTCAAGCATTTTGACATACATATCATTGCATGGGGCTGCATTTGGATAATTAGAAGTTCCGGATAATTCGAAGTTAGGGCCTGGCAATTTGAGGTTCGAATTAAAGGGAGTCTACCTGTATAGTCAGACATCACTCAGAAGGCATAAGTGCCCAATACTGGTACCATCACTCAGGGTCAACTTCAGGCTGGGTGGCTGGCTGCGGTGGCTGTGGGCAGAGGGTGTCCTTGTGTGCAGTCGGCACATGAGGGCGGATGGCCTTGTACAGGTACTGCTGCCTGGCCAGGCTAAGGCCACCTGGTGGTAGCACAGGAGGCAGCCCAGCAGCTGCAATGGCATCCTTGTCGACCAACAGGATGGATACCTCTTGCTCTGGACCATGTAGGGTCTTCTTGGCGGTGACTATCCCCGGCTTGCTGCTGTCGAACACGAGGTGGTGGTACTCACGGATCCCCTTCAGTGGCCGGAAGAACTGCTGGAGGAAGGTATCCCACTGGTACCACAGCACATTACCTCGGACATGTTGGGCAGCGTTGCATCCAGTGTGGCTGCTCCCGTTGATGACTGCCAGGAGCAGCTCCACGGTGTAGCAATCAGAGCGTTGAAACTTCGTCTTGAGGATGCCAAAGAAGCCGTCGACTGTGCACCTCGTATGGCCGGTTAGCATGAACGACAGGGTTATCTTGTCATGAAGACCAAGCAGAACTCTCAAGGCCAGGTAAGCAACAATAGTTTTGTTTTTATTTTGTCCCCCGCAATTATCCGCGTGCAGGAAACACTCCTTCTCCCCAAAGCCGTGCTCTTGAAAGAAATGATGGATGAGGGACGCGACGGTGTTGGGCCCGTGTGCTTGCTTGCCGTCTTGGCCAATGCAGTCAGCCTCGTCGATCACATAGTTTACCTGTCGTCCCAGCGGCTCCATGTTGACGCCAAACAAATGGCACTTCCTTGCTGTCTTGAAGTATAGCGGGCCCTCCTGTCGTGCTGAGTGAGGCAAGAAAACACTCTGCGCAAAATCGAAAGTGTAGTGCATCTTGCGCAGATTCTGGGAGCAGGGTTGGACTGGAGGTGTAGGGTGGTCTCCAAATTCCTGGAGTTCCTGCTTACCTGACATCGTGTACTCCCGGTAAAAGTCTCGCTCCTGTTGAGCACTCTCCATATGCTGCTGGAGACCCTGCGCAGCCTGCAGCTTCTCCTCATCAGACACGGCCTCGACGACTGATCTCCTCAACTCCTCACAGCGCTCACAAACATCGGTCCGGGGAGTCATGATCTTGATGTGGGGAAGAGTGTCTTTCCAGATGGTGCGGAACGACTCAATCCCCACAGACCGCTGCTGCGTTGCGGTGCAGGACGACACATACTCTTTATGCATAGACAGGATGGTGTTGCTTGCCGGCAGATAGATCGGGGGAACGTCTCTATAATAATTATATATTATATAATTATTATAGAGTTGGGAGAGCAAATCTGAATTACATGCTGAATGCACAACCCTCAAATTCATCAAATTTATCGCCGGGATTATGCGCTCCGTTTTAGAACTATGTATGTGTGTGCATTTTATCTTTTTCTGTAGCGTTCTTGAGAATGATGGCGAGGCTGTACAAATTCTTCCACTAAGTAAGTCGGTATAAATGTGCTGCAATTGTATTCAGGGTAAAACCTGTCTTCTGCTAGGGTTTGAGAGCTCCGAGTTCTGCAATATCCGACTGCTATTACTGTGGTGGAGCCGAAGCTTGGCTGTGTTTATTGGGTTCATTTTTGTGGCCTCAAGTTTTAAAGGTGCCAGAGTGTAACTTTGTAGCATAGGGAGCTTGTGTGGGCAGGCGTGTGCTCACCGTCATTTCTCATTTCTTTACCACCATATTATTCCACCATTGGTACAGCTGCAGTGGATTGTTCACATTCACACCACCGTATTTCCCTGGCTAGGAGTCTTGTCCAACTGCAACAGCCCGGTTCTCATGAGTTTCAGTGTGTTCACTGACTAATAACTAAGTAATAAGTCACACTCAATTGTACGATCCCCCCCCCCCCCCCCCCCCCCCCCCCCCATTCGACCTTGAGGTTTTGTGTATTTGGGGAAAGATGGTACTATGCATATCACAGTGAGTGTGTGTGTGTGTCCCGTTACCCGGTCACTGCTGTGTGTTGTGTCATGATGCCGCTATGTGCTGCAGATCCAGACGCACAGACCTATGTTAACGGAGAGCTCATCGGCGACGGTGTAACACTACATCATGTAAGTACTGTCTCTGGTTGAGTTTACATGCACAGGCGTGGCTCTCCCCTCCTGAACAAAGTACATGTGTACAGCAAGTCGCTTTCATGTCCCGGTTGCTGTTTCAATGCCAGCAGTGGATTACAGCCCTGTGCAAGTCACATGTATTGTGTACATGTGGGAAACAAGTACCTTGTCTGTCTTTTTCTGCCTATTGTTTGATTTCAGGGTGACCGTGTGGTGATTGGCGGCGACTACTTCTTCAGGTAATGTTATTGACACAATCCTTCTCCACCGTGTTTCTCTCTCTCTCTCTCTCTCTCTCCCTGTTCTCTCTCTCTCTCTCTCTCTCTTTCTCTCTCTCTCTCTCTCTCTCTCTCTCTCTCTCTCTCTCTCTCTCTCTCTCTCTCTCTCTCTCTCTCTCTCTCTCTCTCTCTCTCTCTCTCTCTCTCTCTCTCTCTCTCTCTCTCTCTCTCTCTCTCTCTCTCTCTCTCTCTCTCTCTCTCTCTCTCTCTCTCTCTCTCTCTCTCTCTCTCTCTCTCTCTCTCTCTCGTCCTCTCTCGCTCTCTCTCGTCTCTCTCTCTCTCTCTCTCTCTCTCTCTCTCTCTCTCTCTCTCTCTCTCTCTCTCTCTCTCTCTGTTTTTGTGCCTGTATATATTTTCTGCCGTCCCGTTTGCTTTTTCACCTGTACCGTACACACTGGTTTTTTTCTTCTTTTCTGTGGCAATCCGCAACACATCTCTCTTGTGTTTCTCCTCTGGTTGCCTTGCGCAGGTTCAATCACCCTGTGGAGTTGGCACAGAATCCGGAGCGCCGCAGCACTTTAGCACCAGGGCGCGGCTTCGAGTTTGCGCAAAATGAACTGTTTGAAGTGCAGGATGCCAGGTAAGTCCTGTAGTATGTACTGTAGTCTGTAGCATTCATCGACGTACCCATCAGCTGCGAGGCTGGGCCAACTTTCAGTTAGCCATGTCTTGGTCTCTAACATACTTCTGGTCCTACTCAATCTCCAGACAGTTAGCTGTTAAGAGTACCGTAATGTCTTGTATTAAAGCCTGTCTTGAATAGAAGTCTGAATTTCAAGATACACTTTCTGCACATTATGCCTGGTTTTAGAGTGTTGACATACATAGAATTACCTGTCTTGTATAGAAGCCTGTCTCATTTAGAGGCCTGCCAAATTTCCCCCAAAAAGTCATATTAGCCGCGGCCTTTATACACGACTTTACAGGAAACCCAGAGTGTGCGGCTTCTGGTTTTCTGCACGGGTGGCGGTCACGGCGAATCCGGGATTACATCATACATGTATTTGGTGCAGGTCTGAGGCGGGAAGTGGCGTAGTGCGTACACATGAGCTGCAGTTGTGCGGCAGGAGATCTTCTTGAATCCTGCCCGTACGCACTACATTGCTAAAATGATGCGATATGGGAATCTCGTCGTGACGCAACCCATTCGAGCTGCACACGCTGGGTTTCACGTACTAGTACTTTGCTATGAGTACATTGGGGAGTACCCTGTAACCATATTAAGCATGCTCTGTGTATGCTTAGGCTTCGTGCAGAAGTGGAGGAGGCCAGGCTCAAAGCCAATGAAGAGGCGATGGAGCAGATAGCTGCAGCCAAGGAGGTGGCACAGCAGGAGTTGGATCAGAATCGTCAGGTGTTTGAGTCTGAGCTCCTCTCTGTCAAGGGGCAGCTGGTGAGTTTGCTCCTCACTCCCGTATACAGTACAGTACAGTACTGTGCTGTCCAGTATGCAGCACCTAAGGTACAGGGCGGCTCAATGAAATCCCATCACGTGAGTCCAGTTTGCGCCCTGCACCAGTCCACCATTCCAGTGTTGACAGGTGTAGGGCTGCACGGTGGCCAGCGTGGCATTCACACACTTGATGGAATTATTGCATTGAGCAGCACTGTATGCATTGAGCACTGCACTGTATGTTGATCATACACACTGCACACACACCCGTGTCTCTTTGTGCTGTGACTATTGTATTGTACCCGACAGCTTTCCCCTGGCTCTGGGAGTTACTTGTACTAGTTGTTTGAAATGGGATGAAAGGAAGCTCCTACAGCTGTCTTCAAGTGGTCTTCCTTCCCGCATCTGCGAAGGAAGCTTGTTGGTGAAGGGATGTATCCCATGGACTTAGCCGAGACCTGCACGTTCAGTGTGAACATGGTGGGCGTGTGGTGTTTTGTATTTTCACTAGCTTGCCGAATCGACGGACAAGAAGGAGGTGATAGAGCGCTCAGAGCATAAGGTGGAAGCCCTGGAGGCAGAGAAGCGGGTAAGCGATCTGTTTGCTGACTGTGTTTTGCTGCTATGTGTAGCATTGCTGTGTTCCCATTTGTTTTATGTCCTTTCTTTTCTACTCTCCTTCAAGCAGCTATTCTTCGTCAAGGTAGACTGAACTTTTTGACTACTTCTTGCTTGCTGTCTTCTTCTTAGGCATTGGAAGCACAAGTTATTGCTCACCGTCATCAGCTTGAAATGGATAGAGAAAAGCTGCGGAAGGTAAGCGTCCTTCTCTTTGCCTTTGCACTGCCGATTGGAATTCTCTGGTGCTGTGTTTGGGCTGCAGGACTTTGCAATATCAGCATAGCGGCATGGGTAGAATACTGCTGCGAACTCGACTTGAGCACCCAAAGATGCTAGTTTGGAATCCATCGACATGGCCGCATCTTTCGCTGACTGGCAAGAAGTGGACCGTCAGCTTAACCACAACTAACCTGACATCCATCCACAGTGGATACAGTGCAGAGTGGATATGCGAGTACCAACGCGACAGGAATCACAACGGCGGGTACAAAGGATTCAGCAAATATGGAGCCAAGCACTTTCCCTTCTGTTCACCATTGATTTCTGACGTTTCTCTACTAAGTCTTGCGCATTTTTTGTTTGTAAATTCTTTTGATTCAGCGTTGCATTGATCATTGTACGTTTTGTTTTTCTTGGCACATTCAAAATTAACCCTTCACAGTTTTGTTGACCAGTATTATTCTCATATTCTCTCCACGCTCCCCTTCCAAGATTAGTACCGTACAACTGGCCTACGCCGGGCACCAGACTGACTGGTGGAACCGCTATGGTGACATGTTCAAGAGCAGCGTTTCAGACAGTGCACAAGACCATTCGACGGATAGCCATGCAGCATGGCAGCCATCAGCAGCTCACGGCCTTGTCAACCCTGCCACCATACCCTGGGTTGGCTGTTCAGTGGCAACATGGCTGCTAACAGTTACATGCCAGCACTCGTGCTGCATACATGGTGAAGAGCCAGCACCCCGACTGCGGTGTTTTGCACCGTCTTCTTAGAGAGATATAGCCTGTATAGGCTATTGATTGTCTTTGGCACTGCTTTGTTTAGGTGTTTGAGGAAGATCGGCAGCAGAAAACAAACCTCATCGCCGATTTGGAAAACGAGAGGAGGAAACTAGAGGACGATGTAGTCAAGCTGAAGAAATCCAAGGTAAATAATTGATCACAGGCTAGTGTAACATGAAATTGTGGGCACAAGTTATGCGATCGAGTCCACCAACTTAACCAAATTTTGAACAGTCAGACGTGCACAATCTAGCTCACCATCTGAGTACAGGCTCAATGTCCTTGTCCTTGTGGTATAGAGTACTGCAGGCTGTGATGGTGGTCAGTTTGGGGTGTTGGTCATTGTGCGGTACGTCCTTGTGTGGTCGTGTTTCTGTCAGCCGTCATGCTTTCCTGCCATACAGAATCATCTTATTTGTCTCTGCGCGCGTGTGTGTGTGTGTGTGTGTGTGTGTGTATCTGACTATCTGTGCATGTATCAAAATTGTCTTTATGATGTATGTATACATGTGTGTCTGTGTATCCAGGAGCAACGAGAGACGCTCAACGAAATCATGGCTACACCAGAGAAAATCGCGAGTGAGTACAAGAGTGTAAATTTATGCTACAGAAAGTTGATGCTGGTGTTTTTATTTCACTAGCTTGCCAAATCGACGGTAATTTAATAATTTTCTGTCCTATTTCATGTTCTTGATTGTAGCAAGAAGGAGCTATGTGTGTGTGGTCCCCGATAGCCTAGTTGGTAGGGCACTGTCCCGGAAAGACAGGGGTGCTGGGTTTGAATCCCGGTCGTGGATCCTTCTTTTGCAACACTGGCGCTCGAAGCCACGACCCATCGTACGTACCCCCGCGAGTAGGTACGGCGTGCGGACACAGCCTGTTGGGGCAGGGAGCAGTGTAGCAAGAAGGAGCCATATATATGTGTGACCCCTGGTAGCCTGGTTGGCAAGGCACTGTCCCAGTAAGACAGGGGTGCTGGGTTTGAATTCCGCCCGTGGATCCTTCTTGTACAACAGAAAGTCGGTTGCACTTCATCACACCAGCAATCATTTCTTCCTTTATTGTCACCTGAACTGCAATATAACTTCCCTTCAGTGTGTGTGTGTCTGTGTGTGTCTGTGTGTATCTGTGTCTGTGTGTATCTGTGTGTCTGTGTGTATCTGTGTGTATCTGTGTCTGTGTGTATCTGTGTGTGTGTGTATCTGTGTGTGTGTGTATCTGTGTGTGTGTGTGTATCTGTGTGTATCTGTGTGTATCTGTGTCTGTGTGTATCTGTGTCTGTGTGTATCTGTGTCTGTGTGTATCTGTGTCTGTGTGTATCTGTGTGTGGGTGTACATGTGTTTGGGTGTACATGTGTTTGGGTGTGGGTGTACATACAGCTAGTTCTGGTCAAAGCAAGCGTCTGATGCGCTACTACATGATGCTGACGGAGGCCAATAACATCAGTGAGAGCCTGAAGAAAAGCACAGTGAGTAACCATTTATGTCCATCCTTTCATATCAGGTTATGTTTTAACTCAGTCCATTGGCTCCGGTTCTGGATTATCACCCTGGCAGCTTACAATTCATCAGTGCTCCAGAGTCGCATGGGCATGGATTAATTGATTCTCCAGGTCATTGTTGAATGCAAGATCTCTAGTTCTCTACTAAACCAGCCCTTTGCATCCTGGGCTAGGTATGTATGACATCATTGCTACTTTGGCTGACAGCCTGGCGCATCCTGAGGTAACTGCAATATATGGCCCAGCAGCTGCCACCGAGTTTTTTTATGTAGGGACCTCGGTTTTTATACTGGTATGTAATTGCAATAAATCCTGAGGCTACTACATTTATTATACATATGTTGACCTTCACTTTCCCTAAAAAGGAGTATTTTATAAACAGTATTTATTGGCCTTAGTGGTATTTTATAAACAGTATTTATTGGCCCAAAAGCCAATAAATACTGTTTATAAAATACCACTAGGCCAATAAATACTGTTTATAAAATACTCCTTTTTAGGGAAAAGTGCAGTGCTGCATTGAAAATTACAGTGGTATTTATTGAGTCAAGCAAATTTATTCGAATTTGATACCGTTGATGGTGTGGTCACTAATGAGTGTGGGTATTTATCAAAGGTCAATATATTACTATTTACATTAGCACTGCATTGCATCGCCACTATAGGTTCTCTTTTGAGGTTTGGGGATATACGATGCCGATTAGATGATGTAGTTGCTTGCTATGAAAAGCACTTACCGTACTTTCCGGAACATATGCCGCACTGGAGTATATGCCACACCCACATATTTGCCACGAATTATAGACATCTATCCTCTTTATCACCGTCAATTTTATCATCAATTTTATCATCGGAGTATAAGCCCTTTTTAGGTGAACTTTGAGTGTTCAAAGTGCGAATACGGTATTCAGATTGCATTGGCAACGTGCAGCAATTATAGAGGAAAGATAGGTATCCTGAGTGCATAGTTCTATCTATAAATACAAGATGCATTGAATAGACCTGGCATCAAATTTAGAAGCGTTCTAATTCCTTATACCATCTGGCATTCAAAATACACACAATTTTTAAGGCCGTACGAATGATTCACAAATGCACCAAGAAGGCTATTCTCTACTCCTGGAAGCACAAACAACAATAGCCTCACAGTATCACTTCATGACTGGCTGTACACTGTGAGGCAGCCGCAAGGGTGGCTATTTCATCACCTCGGCGATAAGACTTTTTGTTTACCTCCTTTACTGTGCAGTCGTTCTTCATCGAAGCAGTTTCAGACGGCGAAGTAAGTACTAAGTACTCTGTATGTGCTCAGGAATACTACTCTACATGTAGTATAGTTTTGGTGTGTGCAAGTCTTGATTGAAAGGTTAACATGTTGGATGATTGACACCATGTTACCAGGTCCAGGCGGGAGGACACACTGTGTTGAGAACAGTGGTTGCAGTCAGGAGCACTGTTCTCAGGACTGTGTGTTCTCTACGCCTGGTAACATGCTGCCAGCTGTCCGACATGTTAGTATGGGTCTCTACCACGCCGTGTCCTTGTACTGTGCACTTCAATGACGTGTGCATGCAAGACACAGAGGTGGAGGCAAGGCCAGCACACAGCCAGAAAGGCGGGCAGAGGGGCAAGGGCAAGAGAAAGTGATAGGATGAAATACACGTCATGTCTATTCACTATACTCTTCGGTATGATTCAGTGAAATCTCAAAACCTCTACTATAGTACAGTAGGCGACTTCCACTGCTCGCGTTATTGATAGAATTTTGCCTAAGGATCGCTTTGTGTCAAACTCTAGCTGCAACTAAAATCTCATTCTCACTCCTATGTTGCCTCAGCTACACCTTTTTACTCATCTCCTTTCCTGCTGCTGTCCTTTTCCCCGGGCTAATGTAGCCTACGCAGATTCGGGTGCAGAACACCAAGCTTGGTATCAGCACCATCTGGCCTATCAGCAAGTTTGAGCAGAAGCTGGAGAAGATGCGCGAGCTCTTCCAGGTGTGTAGCGTTGTGCTGATGTGATATTCTCAGTGTATCCAGGCTGTCTTCTTGGTAAAGTAGTACTCGACTGAATTCTTATCGAGAACGCTTTGCTATGTTTTGTTACCTTGCCATACACTTCATTTAGATAATTATGAAAATCATGGAAACTTTGATGCTTTCCATAAAGGTTTATGGTGTATGGCCTCTTCAGACTAGGTATATGCGATTTTTCCTAGGCGTGTCAACTCTGGGATTTGGAAAAATCTGAGGTAAAGGTGTGGTTTTGGCCAGGTTTCATGAAATCCGGACAGGTGTTGCTTATCCAATGTGTAGAGTGTTGGGTGCACTGTCCAGGTTTCAGGATTTAAATGGACTGAAATCTGGTTTGCGTGGCTGCCTCGAGTCTCATCTCGTATTGACTGTTTGTGTAGGGGTATAGTACAGTACGTGTACCCCTATGGAAACCTCTTGTACAGTAGGATTCAACTTTTGCAGGGCATGTACTGAAAAGGCTATGCCATGCATTTGATGGTATACTCGTATCTCTCCTGTTCGGGCAGTCCAGGACCAGACACTGCCCATAACTTGGGAATATCTGTAACCCTGAATCACATACATTTTGATGGGGAAGGGCCAGAGATCTGGCATCTGACTTCGAAATATCCACAAAATGGGCAAAGAGTTGTAATGTTTCCACGAAAACTGACCCACAGGGTGCTCGGTGGACCGAGGTGCCTGTAACTTTGAGGTCCGTATGAGAGTGTATGTGCACGATGGTTAGAATGCAACTGCATCCTGAGATCATGGGTGTTGTTTGCTCACTGTCCTTTCTGGTGTTGGCGTGGTGGCTGTGTGTGCAGGGTGATAGCGAGGGTGTGGATGACAATGACCTGTTCTATGACCCTAAAGACGACTGGAAGAAGAGCATACCGACATCGCCACTTCCAGCGACACCATCGGCTATCAGGTATGCTGCTCTAGATGCACGTACAGTTGTCCCTCTTTAATCCAGCACTGTATAAACCAGCATAATTTTCAGCAACCAAAATGTCCTTTTCATGTGCATTGCAACAGTAAAAACTCGGATGTTGAGCCAATAGTGATATGTAAAGAGAAAAGGACCTATAAGTTACTAGCTATGACTAACAGTCCACCAAGGTAACCAAGGTAACGAGATAATATACAGTCAGATAGTGCGACAACGAATCACAAAACACTAGTAACTTATAGGTCCTTTTCTCTTTTACTTATTGCAGCAGTAAACCATATTTTCTAATTCAGCAGAATTTCCATAGCACAGATGGTGCTAGATAATCAAGGGAGCATTGTATGAGATATGCTGCACCAGTTCCTGGTGATGATCTCCTGGATTGTCTGGGTGCTGCAGGCGTGAACTGCATTTTCCTGTCGCTTGAATCTGGACGTCACTGACAATCAACTGCCTGATCTTTGAGGGTCACCGGTGGTTCTGCTCCTATGGATGTGGAAAATTCAGTCTCACTCGAACTGTGTATTTTGTGTCATATACATTTTATTTGTGTTTTCCTGTGTTACTGGTATGTTGCAGTCAACCCCGATCTCTGTCAAAGCGCTCCACCTCGTCCGCTGCTCTCGGAGAGCTGCCATCGCGAATACCGGTGTGTGTGTGTGTGTGGTGTGTGTGTGGATCTGATTTAGCCACCCACACTAATACTAGTAGCAAGTATTACCTTCACTGGGGGCAGGGGTAACTGCAGTTGGATCCCTGGACGGATACCCTGATGCCGTCGTCCTTTTTCTGCACCTTGTCCTCACCCACTTACTGAGGTGTGGTGAGCCCATAAGTGGGATCATTTTCAAATCCACCCAGAGTTTTGGGGATTTCAGGGGGTGTCGGCCGTTGGGCGGTTCAATAGCCAATTGATTCATCTTTCCAATATTCCTTTTGAGTCTCTCTCCCCTCTCCCGGGGAGACCCACATGACCAGTTTTGGCAGTGAGCAACAAGTACAAGTGTGTGTGTGTGTGTAGGCGCGCGCGCGCGTGTGTGTGTTTGTGGTTATGGCAATTGTGCCATTTATGTTTTGTGCCTCCATTCTCTCTCTGTCTGTCTGTCTCTTTCTGTCTGGCTCTCTCTCTCTCTCTCTCTCTCTCTCTCTCTCTCTCTCTCTCTCTCTCTCTCTCTCTCTCTCTCTCTCTCTCTCTCTCTCTCTCTCTCTCTCTCTCTCTCTCTCTGTCTGGCTCTCTCTCTCTCTCTCTCTCTCACTCTCTCTCTCTTTCTCTCTCACTCGCTCGCTCACACACACTTACACACACCACACACACACGCACACATACACACATACACACACACACACGCACAAACAAACACACACACACACACACCTTTTCGCCGTCCCAGTGAGTCACTGTGAATACCTGGTTGTGCATGCCGTTGTCCTATGTTGTTCTGTAGAAGTCACTGGCCGACTTGCTTCAGTCTGCCGCTACTCCGTCCTATGCCAGTAGATCATCAGTAACGGAGGCCAGTGAGTTCAATGTGCTTGTTGTGTGGCTAGTATTACTAGTTACTGTGTAGTGCACTATGGCTGGGGGTTTGGTGTTGACGTTCAGTGTGTGTGTGTGGGTGCGTGCGTGCGTGCGTGTGTGTGTGTGTGTGTGTGTGTGCGTGCGTGTGTGTGTGTGTGTGTGCGTGTGTGTGCGTGTGCGTGTGCGTGCGTGTGTGTGGGGGTGTGTGTATTGTAACAAGAGCTGCAGATCCCACGAGGCTCTTGCACACGAAAGGGAATACCCGTGCAAGGTCACTGTTGCAGGCCTGGACTGTAGTACCCTGGGCAAGTCCACTATTGAGTGGCAAAACAGGCACGGTTGTGCTCAACTCTGCCCTGGGGATATTGCTGTGCTGTGGTGGTGTAGCCCTGGCGTTACGAACAGTGTGTTACATACAGGGCGGGACACAACGCTGATGTGTTTCGGATGGCTGGATTCTAGCAAACATGGGAAGACTGCACAGTGCAATGTTGTTGTTTCCTTTGTTGTGCAGGTCCCATGTTGGGTGGTAGCCGCTCCTTCATGTCTTCCACACGTGGACGACTGGACAGTGCGTTTGGAGCTACAGCGTCACCAGGCGGTCTCAGTGCGTTCTCGCTCACCCCTATGACACAGGCTGTGGGTAAGTGGCGAGTTCTTTCTGGCAAAATCGGAGTCCATGCTAGTACTCATCCAGTCTTTGCCAATAGGAGATTTAGTGTCCTTTCACTTTAGAGAGCGATGCCTAAGTACTCTCGGCATAAGCTGAAGCCTATGTGGCTTATTTGTTGTCGAACGTTCCACCCATTGGAGAACAGTGGGCTGGCATTCAAGTGGTAGTTATAGTACGTACGTGCATGCGTGTTGTTTGGGTGTGTTGTTTTGGGTGTGGGTGGGTCTGTACTGAGTTCAAATCTTGTTGGTCAGCTCTGAGCAGCTCATATCTGTAGGTCTTAGCTCAATGGCCTCACTAGCTTGATACCCTCACTGCTCTACATGCCACTTATCTGCAATTCACTCTTGAACATGTAGCTAGGGAGACCCCTGTGCACTTGCTGCACTTAACATCCGTTAGATCAGTGTGTAGTGGTAGTGCTTGTCCAATCTGTGGCCGTTGCGGTTGAGATTGTGACGAACGTCATGACTCATACTCGTACTATATTTCTGAAATACCCATGTTTTGGAGGGTCAGGGAAGAACTCAGACTCGACTGACTCAGAAGCTAAACTGAACTGTACACGAGAATGACAAGAAGGGAAAGAGCCATGTGATAATGGAGGAAACACCAGGTAACAGCGTATGGGAAAGAGACTACTAATAATAACCAAATGTTCAGCATATGTGTACAGGAAGCCATAAAAATCACGGTCGCGTTGTCTGGAAAGATGAATGCAGACGCTATCTGATGTGTGTGTGTGTGTGTGTGTGTGTGTGTGTGTGTGTGTGTGTGTGTGTGTCTGCATGTGTCTGCATGTGTGTCTGTGTGTATCTGTGCTGTGCACGTGTGTGTGTGTGTGTGCGCGCGCGCGCGTTGTGTGTGTATGTATGTGTGTATGTGTTGTCAGTATCTAACCCGATCAAGAGTGTATCCCACCTAGCTGGCAGTGCCCGTCAACATGTTGCTGCCGTACTCGATGCCTTACCCACCGAAGGTATTGTTCTAGTCGTAGTTAGCATTATTTTAATTGAGCAGGCAGTTCAGTGAGTCGAATGCACACTAGGAACACCTTTGTACATTTACTTCCCCCTTAGCTGTATGCTAGTCTGTTTGTATGCTAGGCTGTTTGTATGCTAGTCTGTTAGTTGTGAGACTTTCTGAAGACATGCATGCTAGTGTGCACAAGCCTCACTCTTCATCCCCCGCCCCACTGTAAGGTCAGTGACGGTCAAAGCATCCTCTGTTCCACTATAGGGTCGGAGATGAGCAACCCATCCCCACCCACTATAGGGTCAGAGATGAGCAACCCATCCCCACCCACTATAGGGTCAGAGATGAGCAACCCATCCCCACCCACTATAGGGTCAGAGATGAGCAACCCATCCCCACCCACTATAGGGTCAGAGATGTACAACTCATCATCACCCACTATAGGGTCGGTGACGGGCAACTCTGCAGTTTTTGAGTTTTCATGCGAACTTACTAGGGCTTGAATGGGGACAATATTGCTCCGTCCCAGACGGGTAATTTGCCCGTGCTGGTGTCTTTGGATCTGCGTTGTTTAGGTGTTTCTCGGTATTCTGTAGCTGATGGCATCGTGTCAGCCTGCACCAGTCTGCGTAAGGCCACTGTGGACGTGCAAGTAGTCTTTCAGAAGATCGCCTCGAGTAAGTATGGCAAGGACTAGCCAGCGTGGAAATGCAAACAAGCTTCATCCAGTGATGGCTTCCTTTGTTGCAATGCATTGGAGGCACACGCCAATGTGACCAATTCTATTTGAGCAGGGGTGAACTTCGTGCATTGGTCAGTCTGTCCTCTATATCTCTGTGAGGGAGGGAGGGGGCTTGCCACTTTGTTTTGCTTCCATTCTCTATATCACATCAGCTGAACTTCACAACGTTACAAGTAGAGTGTGAGTACGAGATGTACAAGCAAGAACTTGCGTGTTATGCTTACTTTCCATGTTTGAGTATTTGATAGCTGACTGGACTGTGGCTAGGATCGCTCAGGGGCTGCCATGCACTCGGTTCACCCCTCGGTTGAGTAGCAATCGAGTCTTGCGTGTCTGGTTGCCAGAACCTCTATCAGCCACATTGAAAATTCGCGTACGGGAAACCGTCGCATCGCAAAAAAAGTTGCCTTGAGCTCAACTATTTTGCGTGCGGGAAAGTCATCGCGCGGCGATCTCGCGATCACTTTCCCGTACGCAAAATGAAGTGTGAATCAACCTTTACCAGTGTATCTCCTCTCAAAGCCATAACGCTTGGTCTGTCTTTTCCAGATTCCGTAACGGCCGCAACGCAAGAATCTCTCCAGTCGTCCTTGCTCCGGTTTTCAAGCACATGCCGTTGTCTTGCCGATGGTGTGTTGTCGTGGCGGCGGTTGGAGGAGTGTCGACGCCTGCATGACCGCAGCCGGCGCAACCCTCACATGCTGAAGGTACATCGGTGATTTGGATACTCCCATGTTGGTAGATTGCTGAATGGATGTCTACATGCACTGTCCTCTTGATATTAGCAAGAGTAGATAAACAAGAGTGTGCAACTCGCGGATGGGTTGGCCCACAGCGGAATTTTTTGTTGACGTAATCTTTTCGACGACGCACGCGCTGCGAGTCTTTCGGAAAGTTTTCCCTCGTGCTCTTGGCCGGGCTTTACACTACAAGGTCGGTGTCCAGCACGTGCTCTCACACTGCTCTGCGGCAAACTGCGCGTTTCTCTGAAAAAAAGGTGACGTCAACAAAAAATTCCGCCGTGGGCGGGCGTATCTGCAGATTGTGCAGGAGAGATCCGGAGTTGCACACTCTTGTTTATCTACTCTTGATATTAGTTTTGGGTAGTTGACAGGTAATTCTGTCCCGGCACTGGCTACAGGGAAAGACTTGGAACACTTGTTTCTTTTGTCCTATATACAAGTACAGTGTAGATTGAAAGTTGTGTGTGTGTGTGTGTGTGTGTGTGTGTGTGTATGTGTGTGTGTGTGTGTGTGTGTGTGTATGTGTGTATGTGTGTGTGTGTGTGTGTGTGTGTGTATGTGTGTGTGTGTGTGTGTGTCACTTACTGAGGTGTGGTGAGCCCGTAAGTGGGATCATTTCAAGTCCACCCTAGTTTGGGGATTTCAGGGGGTGTCGGCCGCTGGGTGGTTCAATGGCCAATTGAGTCATCTTTCCAAGATTCCTTTTGAGTCTCTCTCCCCTCTCCCGGGGAGACCCACGTGACCAGTTTTGGCAGTGAGCAAGTACAAGTACAAGTGTGTGTGTGTGTATGTGTGTGTGTGTGTATGTGTGTGTGTGTGTGTGTGTGTGTGTGTATGGTGTGTGTGTGTATGGTGTGTGTGTGTGTGTGTGTGTGTGTGTGTGTGTGTGTGTGTGTGTGTGTGTATGGTGTGTGTGTGTGTATGGTGTGTGTGTGTGTGTGTGTGTGTGTATGGTGTGTGTGTGTGGGTGGGTGTGTGGGTGTGTGTGGGTGCGTGCGTGCGTGTGTGTGTGCCCGCTGCGCTGTGTTGCACTGTGCCACGTGACTAGGCGATGGACAACGTGCTCTCCAGCTTACAACGAGAAACTCGCTCGATGTGCAGTGATGTCACTCGCTTGCTACAGGTACACCATGGTTAGAATCCTGAGAAGCGAGCAGGAAACTACGTAACTACTGAGTGCTAGTTGTGGTGAACTGCTGCTGCTGTCAGTTATTATGATATTGCCAGTGGTCAGGTGTTTAAAGGTGAAGCTGCTATGGTACACGATTGGCCTGTACCGTGCACCCTATCACTACCATACTCGCGTGATTAGTACCCCCGGGGTACTGGTTTGTCAAAGTCCGTCATGGATGGGGCACTTTTAAAAGAGGGTAATATTCTTCATTGCTGGTACGTTTACGTTATCCAGCATGAAAAGAAAGAAGGGAAAGAAGAACGGAGTCTAAAGCGTACTATCAGGACTCATCAGAAACTGCAACAAGAACTGTGACTTTGATCCAGTGAGACTACATCAGTGAAACTACACCAATATTGCACATGCGCTTGATCGGGAGGGGGGGGCAAGGATGGGGCAAGAGAGGGCTTTGTTTTTTCATTGTCTCTCAGAGACAGGGGAACTATTCGAGACCAGGGCACCATTCAAGAGAGGTTTCTAATGGTACGAGTATGGTATCCCTACTCCTGGCGAAGCAGTCGGATGTTCATCTTACTTCAAGTACAAGTAAATATCCCTCCACCGAACCGCCAATTTTGGAGAATACCGAAAATTTCTGCTTTTACAGTAGGTGATTTACGGCTCATTGTAGACTGTAGTGGCATACGTACTGTATATGGATTGCTAGCTACATGTATGTTGAGTAGACGACCTACTAGTACTACCTCTATACCGCTACCATTATCTTCCTGACGCCATTGTAATGAATACCATCATCATGTAGTTGTGGCTGTTGTTGTTGCCGCCGCTGCTGCTGTTGTGGCTGTTGTTGTGTGTTGTTCCCATATAACCCCGCGGGATATTGCAGGGTGTGGAGAATGACATAGACGCCGTGGTACGTGATTCAGCTGCGAAGATTCTACACAGCATCAGTCAGGTGGTGAAGCTGGCTGGCCAGGCATCGCTAGCTACTGCACAGTCTCCACTACTTGTTGACGGTGGCGGCATGTCAGCAGAGACAGAGTCATCTTCGATGCCGCCCGGTGCTATTATGGTTACAGACGAGGTGAGTTAGTGCTACTGTCGTGGACATGGAAATCCGGTCGAAATGACGCGGGGCTGGCGCCCTCAGTGTGTACAGAACGTTGCATGCAGTCCACATGTTGACCGTATGCATTCTGAGAACTTTCCATTATGTTTGTGTATTAGCCAGTCGCTGGTATCCGTATTTTTATTTTATTATTTATTCACAATCACGTGGCACTAGCCAATGAAATGGTGATGTGGGCGATAGCCAGCCATGGCGCTATTTTACTTATTTGTTGGTTCTGTGTAGGTGTCTGGCTTTGACTGTGTGGCCGTGTTCCTGTCTGGAGCATCGGAATACCTCAATGTAACAGTTGAGAATGTCAAAGCTGCAGTGGCTGAAGGGCATCAGCAGATTGCCGAGCTCAGGGAACATAAGACGTCCGTGGTGAGTTTTGCTGACTATGCGCGTGAGCCTACATATTTTGAGCAGTTTTAGGTGTTTGGGCAGATTTAGGCCGCATCCTTGAACTCTTCCCGTTGTGTATTTTCTGCATGGTACTTCCCACATTGCTTCATCTGACGCGAGGATTTAAGATGGGTGGTGCCGTCTGAGTGTGGCACGTCGCTATGGATGAGAAAATATGAGAACTGTTGCAGGGACTTCACGCCACCCCCCCCCCCCCCCCCACACACACACAAAACCAAGGGCATGTACAGTGTACTTTGGAGTTGGTATGTATTCCCTAAAGAAAGGTGGAAGTGATCAACTTGTCAGAACAGAAGAAGGTATTCTTTACCCAGTATGTTATCGAGAGAACTTTTCGACAGCATTCTTGTTAGAGTGCAGGCTCTATGCTCCCTACTTCACCACCATACTTATAGCTAGACTGTGCGTTCTCTCTGCTAATTCATGTGTTGTGTTGTGTTGCCAGAGTGTTGAACCTTATCTGGACGGTGTATCATCGGTGCTAACTGCACTCAGAGGATTTCTCGGCGCTTTGCAGCAACTCCAGGTGAGATATCCATACTGGCTATACTACAAACATGTAGGACTGGCTATACTACAAACATGTAGGACTGGCTATACTACAAACATGTAGGACTGGCTATACTACAAACATGTAGGACTGGCTATACTACAAACATGTAGGACTGGCTATACTACAAACATGTAGGACTGGCTATACTACAAACATGTAGGACTGGCTATACTACAAACATGTAGGACTGGCTATACTACAAACATGTAGGACTGGCTATACTACAAACATGTAGGACTGGCTATACTACAAACATGTAGGACTGGCTATACTACAAACATGTAGGACTGGCTATACTACAAACATGTAGGACTGGCTATACTACAAACATGTAGGACTGGCTATACTACAAACATGTAGGACTGGCTATACTAAACATGTAGGACTGGCTATACTACAAACATGTAGGACTGGCTATACTACAAACATGTAGGACTGGCTATACTACAAACATGTAGGACTGGCTATACTACAAACATGTAGGACTCGATAGCTGCATACAGTAACTGTTGTAGTGTCGTGTATAAAGCCTGTCGCATATAGAAGCTTGTTTTGCATACACGCCTGATTTTCAAGATGCACTGTCAGCACAAGTCATACGCCTGGTTTTAGTGTTGACGTACATAGATTTACCTGGCTTGAGTAGAAGTCTGATGTGAATACATATACATTCAAATCAAGTACTTTTTAATTTTGCAATATTGGATTCAGCAACATCAAGGTGACTGGGATCTGGACTTGCTGGAACACGAGGACATGCTGCCTGCTGCACTGATGCATTGTTACACTGATGCATTGGTACATTGGTACATTGTAGTAGTTTGTGTGCGCGCGCGTGTGTGTGTGTGTGTGCGTGTGTGTGTGTGTGTGTGTGTGTGTGTGTGTGTGTGTGTGTGTGTGTGTGTGTGTGTGTGTGTGTGCGTGTGTGTGTGCATGTGCCTGGCATGTGCCTGGCATGTGTATGTGTGTGTATGTGTGTGTGTGTATGTGTGCATGTGTGCATGTTGCTATGTTCGTTTGCTCTCTAGAACAAGCTACTAGGCTGCAACAGTGCCGGCATCTCGTTCTCCTACAGTCGTGCTGAGCAGCAGTACAGCCAGCTATCAATGCTCTACGCGGACGTGCTCGCACTGCCCAGGGCAACGAGTAAAGCATTCACAGGAACTGCTGCATCAGCGTCGTCATCATTATCATCTAGCTCATCGTCGTCATCGTCCGCAAGCAGTGCAGCAGCAGCAGCAGCGGTGTCAGCCACGTCATCGCCCACCATGGAGAAGCTGGTGAGCGTTGTGCAGTCGCTGGTACTGCATGCCGTTGATACTGCAGCAACATGCCGGCCACAGCTGGAGACAGCACACGGTAGGGCACGGCGAACACTCTCCTCACCTACCAACCTCTCTCAGGAGTCCGACTCGTCTGACATTTCCGAAACGACGGTGGCCAGCAGTGGATCACACGCAGCGGCTGGCAACGAGAGCGAGGATCCGGCGCGTGTGCAGATTCTCACTGACGCTCTGCCCTCCATTGAGTCGGCAGCTAAGGACGTAGCACGAGCAGCCAAGTCTCTAACGAATGCTTTGAGACAGACTGGTCCGTCGACGACCAGTACACGCAACACTGCTGCTGTTCCTGCAGTCAATACCTCCGTCCTGCCAACAACAACCGGAGCTGCGGCGGAGTTGCCGCTTGCGGCTGAGAGAGGACGTGTGGACGGTGGTGCGGCCACAACCCCTGACAGTGCACACACTGGCTCTCCGGGGACAGGACAACGGCCACGTCGACAGCTACCCTCCCTGGACAACGCCATTCGTAAAGACAGGCAGTCCTCACCTATGCCAGCAGCAGCAGCAGCAGCAGCAGCAGCAGCGCTAGTCTCATCCTCTCCCTCAACACCGAGCAAGCAGAGAAGCAGCATTGGCTCTACTGCCACGTCGTCCTCGCCAACCAAACAGAGAGCGAGCAGTACAGCAGCTGATGGCCATGGCAGTGCTAGTCTAGCTATCACTTCGCCGATGGCATCCTCCTCACCAGTGACAGCTAGGAAACAACGGACATCCCTGACCGTGGAAAACAGCAGCAGCAAATCGTCGCCAAAGAACTCGACACGCGGCAAGCAGAGAGCCAGCCTAGGAGCTGACGGTGACAAGCCA